TGGGATGAAAATGAAAAATGGCAGAACTTAAAGCAGCTTTGTGTTTCATGCTGGGTAGCCGTGTTGTCAGATAAACATGTGCCTTTATAACTGAATAATCCACCACCATGGAGACAAGTTTGCTCCATAACATTAGGGATGTTGCCATGGGATTGTGGTCTAGGCGCAGCTACCACATGATTACACTCACGACATCCTGCCTGATTGTGTGCCCACAATCAGAGGAGGAAGTTGGGGAACTTTTCTGGGGATACCAATCTCCTTTTAATGCTGTGGGTAAAATGGAGGCTAAGTTAATTCCAAGGAGAGTACTGGACTGGGAGTCAGAAGGCCTGGCCTCTACTACTTTGTAGCTGTGTCACCTTGAATAATTGCTTAACCTTTTACATTTCTATTCCCTTATTTGCAAAAAGGGATTATAATTTATTGCACCATCTTGATAAATGAGATAAATGTACATAAAAGTGCTTCAAAACTGTAAAGTGCTATACAAACAGAAGGGATTACCATTAGAGGTTCTACCTTGATGTATCAAGAGGTCTTTTCTGGAGTCTGATTGGAGCCTTGTGAGATGCTGTTGGGTAAAACGGTTCCTTGGTTGAATTTCTTAAACTTGTGTGAAAAGTTCTGGTTCCTGAGTAACCCCAAACAAGATGCAATGAGGAGTTCACCGTGTCTTTGTTTTGATCCCGGTGGGTCAGAATATCTGCTTTCTCATTCAGTAGACTACTACAGATTTGAAACAGAAAAACAGCAGAGTCCAGTGACCATAATAGGATCCTAGACAGTTCATGAACTCCAGTCATCTGAGATTGTGGGGTGTGGTCCAATGCTTTTCTCAAAGGGATGTTGCCTTTCTTCAGACAGCGTTGATAAATAAAAATACCCTGGTCCAAATTTATTATGTGTCTCTGAAGGGTTTAACTGAAAAAATGAAATGCATTCTCATGGAACAAACTGGGCCTCTGTTGTGATGAAATAGCTTCAGCTATTTGGCTTGAGGACTGACTTCAGTACAAAGGGCTGTGCTGAACCTGGACAGAACAGGATGGGAGTGGAGGTAAAGGCCACATCATGATGGCTGAATGCCTCTTGGGTCACAGTGGTCCACTGGAATGGTGTCTTCTTCAGTAGTAAGGTGGTAGGGATCACCATGGGCAAAAACCCAGGTACCCGATCTGCAGGCTGGTGGAACAGCACAAGGAAGGTGATCAGAAGGTCCGGGTGAACACTCAGCAATCACGAGGCACAGGACTAGAAAGGGCAGGGACAAAACAGGCAAATGCATGGAATTACAAACCCATGACTCTTAACACCAGGGTGGGTCTGCTCTCAGCACATCAGTTGCCTGACACCCGTATTAATTCTCGACAAGCCTGGCTTAGGTGTTGACAGATAAGTGACACACTCCCCCCCCCCAAACCCATGAAAGCCTGATTAACAATCACTAATATTGAAAACTGAAAGAGTTCTCTGGCAAAGACTTGCTTCCCAACTCCTGAGAATAAACTGTCTCAGGGAAGCAGCAAACAGGAACTGCCTGAAGCCTCATACTTTGGGGAAGTAATATGCTTGTATTCAGGCTGCTGGGCATTAGTTGGTGGGGAGAAGGAAGTGGTTCCACAAGTGGCACAAAAAGAACTGAGATTTTAAGTTTATATACCACCAACAAAGCAAAGGAGATACTGTCCTTCCTTTTCCAGTGCCTTTCTCAAATGGACTTATGACCTTCTCCTTTTAAAAGCTGCTTTCATTGTAACAAAATTCCATCTTGGGTAGGAGAGAATAAGACCTTGTTCCTTGCACCTTTCTGTATGTTATACCCCAGCCAACATATCGGTTTCTGTTTATGTCTGAGGGCTCGTTAGACGTTTTCAAATTTAGAATTAAAAAATAATAAAATATGAAATAGAGAAAAAACAGGGCCCATATCTGTGGCTTTTCTTCCAACCAAGAGTAATTTTAGTCATCACAATGATTAAACAAACATTTACTGAGTGCTTATTCTGAGATAGCCTGCTCTCTAAACTCCTTTCTAATAAATACTTCATCATAGGTGGTGGTATGTGTGGGCAAAGATGTACAAAACAAGGCCCTTGCTTTCAAGGAGTTTGCTATCCAGAAAGAGAGCAAATGCATGCAAATAACTATTTTATAAGATTTTATATACAAAGATAAGAGATATATAACAACATGCTATAAAACTTGAAGATTTTCTGGCTTAAGGAGACTCATGGTGAAGAGAGTATCTGAGTTGAATATTGAGGAAAAGGCAGAGTTTTGACAGGGGAAGAACCAGAGGAGGGTGGGATACAGAAGAGAGTGTGAACAACAACAACAAAAAAGTGCAGAAATGCTAAAGAATAAGGCATTTTAGAAAATGGCAAGTACCGTAATTCACTATGCATGAAGTGTTGTCAGTTTGCACTGAGGGTCTGAACAGAAACTTGGGTCTTCTAATTCCCAGTAACAGCGCTGGTGGCAGTGCTTGCTCAGTTGTTGCCTCTTTTCTCACAGCAAAGCAAGATCAACAGTCCAAAAAAAAAAATCTACCTCCAGATTTCCTGCCACATCCTGACAAGCTCTTCTGGGTTCCAGTTCTACTTCTTAAAAATCTGGAAATCTGAATGAAGTCCATGGCTGTGGCTACATTGAAAAACATTTGCTCCAAATATTGCAGAAAACTGTAGTGAAACGTTTTCAATCTCTAATCCTGGATATCTCATGTTTTGTCAAAGAATTTCAAGCTTTGAGTTCCAGTTGTCTTTTTCTTCCTTTCTCCTGAGGAAATCATCTTATCACCACAGTCTTAAGATTCTTTTGAGGTACATCCAGAGTTAATTACGAAAGAGCTAAAAGACCAACACATTTTTCTCCCAAACAGTCATTTCTCTGGAAGTGAGATTATTTGTCTCTGCCCTTTGGGTAAAGAGAATAGTCAATTTTTTTTCCCCCAGACATTTGAATGAAACAGCAGAACTGGCTAACTTCTAATCAGACAAAAATACACTTAAATGTGTTTATGTTCACTTGCTTAGAGCTGTACCACTTGGTAAGCACCACTCCACAAAACGAAAATGTTTGAAATCCAACTATTCAAATATTTTTATAGTGTTTGCTGGATAATGGCCTGGAATTTGATGAAAGCAGCTGACAATTAACAAAGAAGCAAAAAACTGGCATTTTGGCCATTTTAGTATTATACTTACAAGCAATAATAATACAAGGCAGGCCAGGAAAAAGTTAAGCTTTGAATCACTTGCAAATCTACTGATTTTGAGGTTCAGGAGGAGTTCTAACAAAACGTTTCAGAGAATGTTATCCTTCAATTAATAAAAAAACAAAAAAAACCCAAACATCTTCAGGAATTCCATGCCCGGTTCAGTCTGTTCCAGTGAGCCCGGCGGCCGGGCCTGCGCCCCAAGAGCTGGATGCCAGAGCAGGAGAAAGAGCCGCCAACCGATCGCTCGATCGACCGCACGCCCGCTCCTTCGCCCTACCAGACCGGGGAGGGGGGGAGGGCGCGCCAGGGCTTCTTCGAGTTAGGGGCCTGACTCCCCGGCGACGAGACAAGATGGCTCCTCCGGTCCGCGCCGCAGCTACCGTCCGGGTTGCGTCGCTCGGCCCGCCCCCGGTACTGTTCCTTTAAATGGCGGAGAGGGTCAGGAAAGCAGGAAGAGAGGCCCGCGCTACCACGTGACATGGGCGGGACCGGCCAACTAAGATCCGGTCACGTGGGCACACGCTGCTCACCAATCAGGAGGCGGGGCATCAAGGCGGGGGCGGGAGGAGGAGCGGGTTTTTGATTGGCGGAATGCGCCGCGGAGGCCTCGGGGGTTTGGGGCGTCGGGGAGTGCGCGAGGTGGCTGTGGCTGTGTGCACTAGCGGAGACAAAGCGGTGGTTGTAGCGGCGGCGGCTGCAGCAGAGCATCCCTGAACGCCGAATTTCGTGGGGCTAAGTCCTGTCATAATTTCATCTAGTGCGGCTCCCGGACGGCAGCGGCGGCGGAGGAGGCGGCAGCGGCGGCCGCGGCAGCACATGGTTCCAAGAGCGCGCTGCGGTTGTTGGGTTCCAGATCCGCGGGGAGGGACAAAGGCTGCTGCGAGTTCCCGGCAACGCCCGGTCGGGTGGTGCGCTCGCCACTGCCCTCGATCCGGGTCTTGAAAGCTGAGACTAACTCCTCTCTGTGAGGAGGAAGCCACGGGACCGAGGGCCGGAAAGGGCCTGAGAGGCCGAGGCCGCTGTCTGAGGGAAGTGGGGGAGGGGCGCGGCCCGTTTGAGGTGATTTGGGCGGGCCAATTGTGAGGTAATTTGACCCACCACCCTGAGGAAATTAGGGTGGTGAGGTTTGGTCGGGCTTGGAAAAAAGAAATCAGCAAGCAGGGTTTGGTTGGGCTTGGAAAAAAGAAATCGCCCCTCTGCGTTCTTTCCGCTCTTTCCGTTGGGACGTGGTAAAGCCGAAACTAGCTCCATATGCTCTCCATCGACATCGAGGTCACCAGTCAAGAACCTATTTAATTATTACTGGTGGTGAAGACATGGGGGATTGTTCAATTTTATGACAGAAGTGGGTAAGTTTATAGGTTGGTAAATTTCCGGATTGGTAAACACAGGAAATTTAGGGGTACAACAACAAAAAAGGACTGGAAGAACATGAAGATGGAGCAGTAATAAACTGAAAACTCAAGGATCATCTACCCCAGGACCATCCATATTTGACTCAACTTGAACTATCGCAACTTAACTCTAAAAGCTCCTTAGATCTACAGGTTTTTTTCGTAGTACATTCCAAAATATTACGTCATAGTCATTGAGAAGATACAGAAAAACTTAAAGAAGAAATCAATTGTAGTTGTAAACAAATCTTTGAACATATTTTGGATAGATACTAGCTTTGTTTAATTGTCATTAAGGAGCTGGGACTTCCCAAGCCTTTACTGGAAGGAATCCTACAAAAGCTGTTCCGTTATAAGGTTGTATTTCCTAGTTAGTGGGTAAAAGGCTCAAGACCTCATTGCAGTCATGGCTTTCACAAACTACAGCAGTCTGAATCGAGCTCAGCTAACCTTTGAGTATCTGCACACAAATTCGTAAGTATCCTATAGGTGCCACTGAGGTCACCAGTAACTCATTCCTTGACATTAATATGGAAATCCTTTCCCCAGGAAATTTTGCTTTTTAACTTTTTGGGATGTTATCACTGGAGTGAAGTATATCACTGGATGTCTTGAGCTCTTTATTGAAGAACTGAGATCAGTGAAATATTTGTTGCTAATCCAGAAGAATCTGATTTGCATTTATTGGATCAGAATTTCCTAAACACAAACCTTAGTTTTTTGAAGTCAATATATTGAGTTGTTTCAAGTGTTTGATAGGAATCCAACAAGTACTGCGTTTTGGATCGCCCAAAAGTTCGACTATGTTAGTATCAACTTCTCTTCTTTAGTGACAGAAGTCTAAACAGTGGGGTTAATAACAAGTGTTTCCTATAAGAAAAAACAAAAAAGGAATGAAGACATTTAAATGACAACTTGTGAGAAGAAAATCTTTATTATTTTTTCCACAGACAGTTGGCTTTATCTTCCTGGGAAATTGGTTCCTACCTCCAGTATAGTTGTATATGCTAAGCAGGAAATGGCAAGTATGTTTAAATCCTAGATTTAGGTAGTTTTTCCCCAGAATGTGCGAAATCACAGAAACAAACTGTGTTCATGGTTCTTGAGTTCGTGAAGAGATTACCGCCACTCCAATTTGGTCTGGAATGTTTATAGGTTCTTACGCCCGCTTTCTTAGAAGTTATCCAGTGGGGTCAAAACTACTTTAGTCTTTTAATACGTTCACCTGTTACCTTTGAGATGAAGGTAAGTATTCTGCCATTTTAGTATGTGGAGAGATGATGAGCAGCGAAATGAATGGTCCAGTTATCTCAAGAACCATCTTCAGAGTTGAGAGTATAGACTTCAGTTTATCCAATAGTAGCAGTACAATGATTTTTAGCCTTTTATGGAAAAGAACATGTTTATGATTCTATAATGTCTAATATTTTGTTATTTTTTCCTATCATGGAAATAAAAGTCTTCTAAGTGGTGAAGTAAATTGCCAAACAATGAGACCTTGGTTTTATTTTGTTTTGTTTAGGGAGGTTATTATTGAACTAGAGCACTTTAGAGAAGGTACTATAGAGGTCAAGTAGGCCAATGCTCACACTTATGGATGATGAATATGAAACCCATTTACATGAAATGTTAATCAAAGATCAACTAGTTGATATCACAGCCTTGGCAAAACCTTCAGTGTCCTTTATTAATTTTGATCTGCCATGGTAAGAACAAGCATTGGAGGCCACTTAAATGTTCATGTATGATTATGTTTGATAAAATGGTTATCTCAGTTCTGGATTTTGAAATGATGGCATATTTGGAATTATGGACTTTATGATAATGTTGGAAGACCACGAACTGGACTTCGGAATCTGGGTTCTTGTTCCAGCTTTGCCAAAGACTGTGATAATGGATAGTAACAAAAGTTAATTATTTCCTGCTGGTGACTGTTGTAAACATTGGCAAAAGTAATCTCTACAACAACCCTGTGGGGTAAGGATTATTTCTATTTTGCATTTCAGGAAACTGAGGCTGAAAGAGATGAAATTACATGTTAATGGTTACATAGCTGCCAAGTGGCAATTTAAGTTGCCAGGATTTAAGGTAGTAAAATTTGTCTGACCGCAGTGGCTAGTGCTTCTAACCATTAAGCTGTTCTGACTGTAGTCAGTTTTGTCTTCAAGGGCTTGTTTTCTGCGTATAAAGCAAAGGGTTTACTTCCCACTTTAAAAGTATTTGATTTTAGTTTACCTCAATGAGTCTAATTGGAGGATTCTGGGATATTTTCCCCTGTTTATTTATTTATTTATTTTGCTGTTGAATAGCTTATTAACAGTAGGTGGGCCGAGCCAAAGCAAAGAAGCAAACGTCAGTTAAGTCACCTGTATAAGGTGAAGTTGGAAAATTTTCTGTGAAATTGACTTTCCCAAATTGAACTGGAACTACCTGCTTGCATGAGCGTTTGAGGGTTGGAGTATCATTTTGAAAGCCCTGGAATTTATCTTCATCACAACTTTGGCCTTTGAAGTTGTTCTACTTTTGAACGTTTATTGTCCTACCAGAAGGAAAAGTGAACCCTAGAACACCAAGATATATATTTTTTTATTTTGGTGGCTGGCCTGTATGGGGATCCAAGTCCTTGACATTGGTGCCAAGGTACATTTTTTGTTTGTAACTAATTTCAAGGGATTTTTTTTTTTTTATTGTGATGACCTGATTTGAAATCCATTTTTAGAGGAAACCGAAATTGTTAAATTCTGAAATGATGTGTCTTGTTACTTGTAATGATGGAAGATGAACCTCCTCTGTGTGAGATGGTTCAATAAGTCACCTTCAGAGAAGGGAAGATTTATTTTACAGTATTTTCTCTTTTGTTAATTTTTTTAAAAACAAAATCATTATAGGGTATCTGACATCTACAATATTGCCATACTGTGAATTATGAAAGAATTATGGCCCTTTGCTTACCTCCCGTTTAATATAGACTTACAAGCAGAGTCTAGGCTAAAAGGGTGGAAATCAGTGTGGTGCAGTAAAAAGACCTTCAAGCTTGGATTTGATGCTTCCTGGGTGTGTCCTAGGGCAGGTCAACTTCTTGAGCCTTGGTTTCTTCATCTATTTAATGGAACTAATCTGATAGCGTTTATGAAGATTATGTAAATTGACGTATATAAAGTTCTTAGCTCATAATGGTACACAGTAAACATCAAGTAGATGTTGACTAATATTTATAATATTAATTTAAATAAACCACAAATCGGTCAGTGTGGTGGAAACTTGGTGTTTGGTCCTAGACATTAGGCAGATAAATTCTAGAGCATCTGTTGGAGACAGTAAACATCTTTCTTGGCCTTTTTTTGTAACAGGTCTGTGGTAGCTATTGCATTCTTTTGGTTACATCAGTTTTAATGCTTGAAGCAGGCCTGGGAAATTCTCTTGGTAACGAGAAAGTCTGGCTAATTTCTTTTAATAATGGATATTGCTTGTATGAGAAGATAAAAATTAGGGTTTTTTAATAAAAGGACTTATATGTTGTTACTGCTCTTTGGTGGCAGGTTTTGTGACTGCTGTTCCTGATGTGGTGGTGGTAGTGATATTCTTTTGGCACAAGATGTATATCGTATGTCATTTTATTTGCAGTTCTGCTTAGTGGTCTAATAGAGCAGGATTGTTAAGTATAAGAGGCCTACTTTTTATGACTCTAATTGTTGACACATTTAGTAGCTTACTGTCTTTGCCATATGATATTTCTGGGTTGTTTTATTCATATGTGAAGTGAACGTAGAAGAACCTGTCAACTCAGAGACTTATATTTCTTTTGAATTATAAGCCTGTTGAAAAGTAGGTTCACACTTTAAATATATTAAAGCAATTTGAATGTAAAGTGTTTGTTCCAGAATTTGTCAGCTTTTTTTCTAGCAATTAAGGCAATTAACTGTTGTCAACATATCCAAGAACTCAGCAGAAGCTATCACTTTGTGATGGGCTTGTGGATAATCTATTGGTTTAAATTCAGGCTGACTATATTAATAGGGAGACCATTTTCCTTACATAACGAGTTGATTTACACATGAGTCTGTTGCTGGAAATGCTGAGTTGCAAAACTATTTCTGCTGTTGCACAGAGGTATAAAAGCCATGATCAGTTAAAGCAGAAGAAGAGTTTGTTAAAAATCTTTTTCCAGATGGTTGATCTTTCTTGGATCACATGCAAAGGATCTTTAGGTCTGTGAAGGATTTCTTTTGATATTTATCCATTCTGTCTCAAATGCTAGCCAGTAATGAGTGTACCTCTTGGAATATTATTTTTGGGGGAAAAAAGAACTTATCTGTTGGTATATTTTTGTTTCTTATGATTTTTGGAAGTATTTAGAACTCTGACTTTAGCATCTGGAAAATTCATCTTTAATCGGTTTGATGTGTGGAGAAGATTCTGAGCATTGTCTGTTACCTTACCAACAGTTGTCACAGTAGGCCCCTTTTATGATGTGTACTGCCATCATAAAAGTACCTCTTAGCTACATCTTGAAGATATGTTTTAGCCTATCTGAAATATGTATGTGTGGAATGGCATTGATACTATGTGGAACAACAAAGATCATTTGGAGATTTTTTATAAGTTTTAAATGTGCAAGACACACTTCTAGATTATATACAAAATGGTGAAAACTTAAGCCAGAGGTATTTTGTGGTTGCCCTTTTGAGATCTGCTTATTGGGCTCTAAATGCCTCATTTTCATGTGAAGCAATCAGACATATGTATTGCTGGGAAGCAGTTGCTATTTCGGTTTTAGGTTTCCTTGTCCTGATGGCAAAGGGTGTCAGAATTAGTTTTCCAGATTACTCATATTTACCATTCTCACTAGCAAAAGCCAGAAACTTTAACTTATTTATTCCAAAGTTAGTGCATTCTGATGCAAGTTATGGTCTCATTCTTACTATGGTTGTGCTCTTGTTTTTTCCCAGGAGCTGTATTTCTGTGATTTCTTAACTTTATTTTTTATTTTATTGTTTCCTTGACTTTAAAATACAGGTTGATGTTGAAATAAATATTGCAATAGAATTGGTTATTTTATATTTCTATTTAACAGTCTTCAAAATTTAAAAAAATTTAATCAATTAGAGAAAATTAATTCACTTTGTAAGTTTCTAAGTCACTTATAAGTCAGACAGGAGAATGGCTCATTGAAAATTTGAGAACAAATGTTAGATACACTTTTTTTTGGCAGTGATTTTTTTTTAATGTATTTTTTTGTTGTACATGTTTATGGGGTTTAGTTTGTTCTTTCAATACATGCATATATTCTATAATGTTCTAATCAGAATAGTTAGCATTTGTATCACCTAAACATTTAAGATTCACTTTTAACCTACATTTCTCTTGGTAAGTCACCTTAACTTTCCAGCTTATTTCTCCCTATTTTTTTAGTGGAGTAATTTACAGAATACTTTTCTGTTTTTTTCAGTTGATAATTTGAAGAATTTAAAGTGATAATTCTAAAGACTTAAATATTTTTAATAACTAAAGAGATGGCTATTTTATGCAGGTTTTCTATTTTATGCAGGTTAATCTTTCTTTTAAGATTGCTTCTTCCATGTTAAATAATGAAGAATTGGAATTTAGCCAGAAGAATTTAAGCTCTATTTTCTAGGTGAATTGGTGATAAAATTTCTGGGTTTTGTTACAACATATTATTGGTGCTGCCTTTGGATTAGCAACAGATATATTCACTGATCTTGTAAGAAAAAGTTCTTCCTAAAATTCCAAGAACTGGTAGTTTTATTTAACTCAAAATTTGCATTTGTAAAAATTTGATGAGTTACTGGAAGAAAAACCAGTGTTCCAGGACAGTTCAGTTATGGGTATTTAGTTTATAAACAAATGTTTTACAGTTTGTTTAAAACAATATGGTAAGTGATCAGAGATCCTAGATACTTGTTATTTAATATTGATATATATTATTCTAAATTTGTAGAAATTTTCGCTTTGGCTATTGGCTGAAATTTTATGTGAAAAAAGTCAGCAAGAATAATTTGGGTATTTTTGAAAAATTGATGATGGTAATGTGTGGGTTAATGATTTTGTATTTTCTCTTCTAATCAGAAGTCAAGCTGGTTTTTTAGGTGGTTCTGTGTGGACACTTACTACTTTTACATCTAATGGGGACTATTATGGGAAACAGCACAAATTAAAGAGCACATGCTCAATGTTTAACTTGTTAGCATTTTGTTTTACCAATACCTGCGTGTGATGAACCAGTGAAAAAAGGAAACCTATACACTTCTGTGCAATTTCGAAGCAAAAATTTCCATATTCCATTTAAAAGTGGGAGAGAAAGGAGACAATAACCCATTTATTGACTTCCTCAGATTTTGGCTAAAAACACAACTTTCCCCACATTAAAGAAAGGAATCCAAAATTTCTGGAACTGTTCCTTCTAGGAGAAGAGCTTGGTGTGGTTTCCTAGGGCCCCTATTAAAGTTAACTCCTTCAAGAAGGGGAGCCAGTGGTCATCTCCTCTGGGAGGCTGCTCAAAGTTTGGGTTGGGTAAATACACAATTACCATGTTATTCAGAATTCAGTGAAAGTGATATCTATGTATAAGATTTATCCTTACAAGTCTTCCTTCGAGATATGCAGAAACTGACAGCTAGTTAAGGCAATGAAAAATAAAATACAAGTATATTTCTAGGCAGAATATGAATAGTGAAAAATGCTGCTTTTAGCAGTTGTACATATAGAAATCTTTTAATGCTTCATGGGGACTTTCTCAACTCAAAATAGGAAGAACAAGCATTTCTGAATAGATAGTAGGATTTGATAGATTAACACTTGAGGGGAATTAGTAAACTCTGGAAAGCCTGGGGTTATGGAGAAGCTTAAATTTCAGTAGTATAAATCAGCAATGTAAATGGTGATTTTAGATTTTCTAAAAACTTAAAGATATTTTATGGACTTTTTCTTAAGAGTCATACTTCATATTTCTTTTGCTGACTCTTAGTATTTATCATTTCAGAACCACTCATGAATTTTTGTTTGGTGCTCTTGCTGAACTGGTTGATAATGCAAGGTATGTAGTCTTCAGGCATATAATCTGTGCTTGGAGTGGAAACTTTATGGGTTGTCGTAACCTTTGCTCTGTGAAAACTTGAGAGGAAGACATTTCTGTAGCAACTGCAACTCTTAAGAGGCCTCTTACTGAAAAAAATATTTTTAATTGCACATTACTTGATAACTTCCACATTGTTATTTGATTAACATAAATTCATTCATTGCTCTTTGTATTCTAGCCTAAAAGTAATGACCTTACCACCTGCCCTTGTATAGTAGAGCAAGATAATTGTAGTGAAATGGAGGGAATGAAGATAGAAACTTAGGAATCAAATCAGTGGGACAGACAAGCTCTGATTTAATTTGTGCTACCAGGACAGTACACTTGCTGAAAATGATGTTCATCTATGTCTCTATACTGTTATTACTTTTGTTGCTCCTGTTAACTGGACTGCTAGTTAACAAGTTGTTTAGCCAGAAAACTCCCATTTTGTTTCAATCCTGGTTGACTTAATTTTTCTATTCAATTAAAAAATGCTGTAGCTTAATGGCATTATGTTTGAATTTGCTACTTATTAACTTAGTGAGACCATGATGTGCTATGGCAGGCAGCTTTTTTGTGTGTAATATGGTGAACTGGAGATTCATTGGAGTATGTGTTCCTACTCATGCACACGCTTTGCCAATCTCTTTCATATTTGAAAATATTTTTATATCTTTGAGAATTGGTACATGTAGAGCTGTGTAGATTTTGAGTAGATTTTTTTGCATGTAAAAACCAGTGAAACTGCCTTATTTGCCTTGCCTGCATTTAGCAGAATTGGACTAAATTACTTCAAAGCCTTTATGGAAACCTTCATTGGTGACTGAATCTTTATGATTTCAGGCAATGGATGGAATCTAATGGAGTGCCCCAACATTGTTTCAGGGTTAGGGAGGACAAAATTATGGACTCAGGAATCAATCTGCTAACTGTAGTATGTACACCATGAGACCTAGTTTTTCACAGGTTTTGCGACAGATTATTGTTTTCCATTTTTCTTAAAATCTTGAGAAGGAAAAATGGACAAGGTATTAGAACATCATGATTGCAGTCAAATGAGTGAGAAAGACACATACTTGAGTCATTTCTTAGTGTGTAAAAGGAAATGTTCTTATTGATCTTCTAGATGTCTTAACCATGAAGCCATGAAGTCAACATTAAAAATATGTATCCAGGCCCTATGTGTCATGAGATTATCTTAAATAATTTGGAGCTCCAGAAGTGTTTCACAGATATAGATGGAAAATTGGGTTGCCAAGTATAAAAGTGAAGCTTTAATGTATATAGAATTTTGTATGGCTTCCTGAAAACACATTCAAAATACTATGCATTTTGATGATTGATATTTTATATTAATTCTCATCTGGATCTTGATTGTTTTTCTTTTAATTTGGCAGGGATGCTGATGCCACCAGAATAGATATTTATGCAGGTAAGTCAGACTTTAGGCCTTTCTTCTAATGCCCAATTCCTCTTAATGCATTTATTACTGTATCTGATAAGAAATGAGTGGAAAATAATTGGTTTCTGGAGGTTGGCAGGATTACTGTAGGTCATAGGTAGAAACAGGGCAGCTCTGGCCAGGAATGTCATAGAAACCAAGAATATTAATTCCAAGAAACTAAAAGGGAGTATCCAGATCTATGTAAATAGCCAGAAGGAGATTTATGGGGGTGATGGAGTAGAGTAGTGGGGAATGAAATGACCAAGTCCTAATCATTTTACTGGTAGGAGCTGGCAGGTGAACCAGGTTTGTCATACTGGAAGCCCAGGAGAGATCTTGTTGGAGTCCACTTTCTTTCCCTGAACCCTCTTGTGATCGCTAGTCCCAACTTGGAGAGTTGCTAGTGTTGGTTGCAGGAAATAGCTGGTAACTGGATTGGCTCTGAGGTTTGCAGAGATGTTCTCAGGCAGAGGTGTCAGGAACAAGGACTGCTTGCCTTGGAATTTAAAGCTGTCAACAGCCTCTACTAGTTTATTTATTTGATTGGCTCTACTTTTTTATAGAAAGAGCCTCTCTTTTTCTTAGAGCGGGTGCAACAGTGGAAGAATTCTTAGTCATTATCATTGGCTTTTTTTTAAAAATAATTTGCTTTCTGCCTGTTGAGTAATTGTATCAGCACCTTTTTTGGTCATTTGAACACTAAAAATTTGGAAGTGGGATAGATGAAGAGAGCTTTTAAATTTGGCTGGTGTGATGTTTTTCTGACAGACTTTTCTGAAGTCTTCTAAAAGGTCTGAAACGTTTTGAATAACATTACTAGCTTCTGAGAAGTCTGTGTGTTTATGTTGGAATATACAGTTATCTACCCCTCTTCATGGACCCATTTGATAAATGGGAACAAATACACAACTAAATAGTAATTCTCAAAACCTCTGATGTCATATAACTGTGAGAATACCCCCCAGATCTGAAGAATTTCTCACGTCTGATATACTTTGGAGCAAAGAAAATATTCAGAACTGCTAAAAGTCAGCTATACTACTTAAATTCTGAAAGCCTTCTGTTCATAAGGTTCTGCAAAATGGTGAAAATAGGGCTCCTTTTATTTTTAGAAGAAAGCAACAGGAATAAGGGGCACAGTGGAAGAATGTTAGAAGATGGTTACTAAACCATCGGGCCGAATGGAGCGCCTTTCCAGGCCACAGCATGTATCTTACGTGTGAGTGTGTTTCGTGAGGAGTGGTATCAGCTACCTCTGAAAGAAATAGTGGCTTTCTTAATCATTGCACAGATGATAAAGCAGAGAATGGGCCTCTCTACTCCAAGTGATGTCAAAGGGATAAATCATAATTAGCCCAGTTAGCTTTGGAAGAAGTTTTTGTTTTTGTTTTTTTGGTGGCTGGCTGGTATAGGGTTATGAACCCTACTTAGTTTTTTTTAAAAAAAGATTTCCGCTCCCTTCTGCCAACTTTGATGGTTGAATTTCAGCAAGGAAATTTAGTTCTTGACACTCAGAATGCAGCAGAACAGTTGGATTTCAATTTAAATGAAAAAGATCCAGTGCACATTTATTCTTTGTTCTATGCTACTTCTATTGTGCTCGGGGAAAAGTTCAGAGAGAGATGGGGCCTTTCCTCTAAGAACATAGTCTCTAGTCAGAGACAGCACACTACTGATGATTAGAGAACTATAACTAGATCTTGAGGGAACAATTAAGACAGTAGGGATTAAATGGAGTGGTGGAAGCACTAAGAACCATAGCATTTTGGAAAAAAGACTTGATTTACTCCAGGTACCATAAGATTGGGAGTCTTGGCCGAGACATCCTTAACATCACCCTTTTCTACCTCAGTGCCTTATTAACACATTCAACAGGAGGAGTAAAAGCAATGGAATCCGTAATAATCTTAATGCTGTAGAGTACTTGTTGTTAGTGTATGGGCAAAAGTATTTTCTTATCGTTTATTCTGAAACTAGATTGATTATGAACTTGGAAATTTCCCCCAAATCAGATACAGTTTGAGGTCACCAGGAAAGTCATATTTTGAAGATTATTTAAATGTGAGATGGGCGAGAAGGAGCCAGACTTTCAAAGTGTAGAGGTGTTCATTTACCCAAAGCATTTCTATTAGTTGTGGCCAGGCCATAATGTGCCTGTCAGAAGTGGACTCTGTTTTTATTGACTTTCCTGACTTCCTGGGATAGGTAGTGCCACCTCCTTGAAGAAAGCTCCTTTTTGTGACCACAAGGCAATGGTTAATAAATGAAAAATTAGAGCAAATGAAACTGAAATGAATACTGGTGAAACATTACGGAGTGAGATGAAGAACTTGGATGCCATTTTATTACAGCCTCTGCTAAGGACATCGTTATTTTATCACCTCTGACTTTTAACTTGTAGCCAATTTGATATCTCTTCTCCCGCTCCTTTCTTTTTCTTGTTCTCCCCAGTTGGAGTTGGATGAGAGAAGCCAGACTTGGACATGTTGGGGGAAGCTTAGCCGTGCAGCCTTCCAAACTGGTTCTGACAGTCTTACATAGCTGCTACCAGGATCTGAAGCACAGCTGCCAAGAAGGCAGTTTGGCTTTGTCTTCCTTCTCTTGCTTACAAGATGTACGGTGGGAAGGGAAGCACACAACACACAGCTGCTTAGACTCTCCTTCATCCAGAATTCCATCTCCATCCCAGTCCTTTCTTTGGAAGCTTCAGATGTCAGTCAGTTGACTGATTAAAGTAATATCAGGTGTTAGGAATGAATCTCTGTGGTGGAATGTCTGGGGGGAGATAGTTTTGAGCAAGGAGACCTTCTAGATCTTGCTTGCTCTAGCTCAGTGGTGGTTCTCAAAGGTTCTCATGGGCAATATCAGCATCAGACTTATGCAATCAGACTATCTAGGGTGGAGCCTGGAATCTGTATTTTCACAATCTCTTCAGATGATTCTGTGCACTCTACATTTTGCTCTAATCGGTATTTTTTTTCAGCCTCTGTCAGCTTAAACCATCCTGTTCTTTACTTCCTACTTTCTCCACTGTGGATAGTAGCAGGGAGTAGAATCCGTTAGACTTGTAAGGTCCATGAAGACAGGTATCACATTTGCATTGATCACTACTCTTGTCCTCATCACAGAGCCAGGCACACAGGAGGTACTCAGTGAATAGTAATTGAATAAATGAATTATTTGCATAAACATTGAAGCTAGATGAAGACACCATACTGCTTATTTACAAAGTTGAGGAAATGAACTGTATAAGCAAGTCTCTCTTGGCCCTGAGGCGGTATTGCATATGAACACAGACCCCGACACTACTAGCCATTTACAGGCTGTTGGCCACTGGGTAGCCAGGAGGATTCCTCCAACGTAGGTCTCTTACCCTTGTAATCTACATGAAAAAACTTTGGAATGAAGTGCTAGAGTCAGAAAGGGATCCTAGACCCATCGTTAAGTGATGATTGTGTGCTGAAACAGCCTGCAAGTCCTGTCCTAACACAAGGACATAGAAAGTAACCTCTTAGGTAGTGTTCAGGGAATGCTAGTAGTCCTTAGGTCCTTTCCAGATGTGCTCGGCTGAACCCAATTTCTAGATCCCAAAGGCAGAGACTTCATGCACGTTTTATGGCTGTAGTCAGCAAATGGCTCTTGGCTAGATTTAGAACACTGCTTTTACCATGCATGTAGCTGATCGAGTTTGAGTCTCCATATGACACTTCACTTCCTCCAGATGGAAACTGTGAAGCCTTTTTGTACTTTTCTTGTACTTGTTTCTGCTTGCCATATCTCATTTGGATTCTTCAGACTCTAATAATAGCCTCTGCGACAAGGAGAAATTTTTTTATCTACAGTAGTACTTCCAGGAAGATCCTCACCCTTGAACTTTCAAGAAGCAGTTGTAATTAATGTCCAGCTTCCTGAACACTGAGTGATACTTGAAAATCTTTGTGGTTTATAGCCCTTCTGAAGTAGCATTTTAAATTATATTGTCTATTTAACAGAGGGTGATCACAACTCAGTTGAATTTTTAGCCTGAGGGGAAGACAGAGAGTATTTTAAACAGATTTGTTAGATAGTTGTACAAAGTTGGTGAACTGCAGTTTGGAGGAGATTAAAAAGTCCTCAGGGACCAGACTCCAAATCAGCCTTTGGCTTGTCTCTATAGTACCTTACATAGGCTTCCTTCCTTTCAGTACAAGGGTTACTTTTATCCTTGTGCTAAGCAGGGGTCTATGAACAGCTTCTGTATTGGGGAAGTTGGTGTTAGTTGTTCTTTGCTTGTGTGGTTTCCCTGTCTCCACCTCTGTCTCACAGCCTTCTCTCTTTTGTGTCTACACTTGCCTGATTCCAAGGCTAGTTGCTCCTTTGTTCACCTATCCTCATCATTAGATCAAAGGCCCCTTGGAAACTAGTATAGCCCCCTTCCCTATTTGGGAATCTTTTCCATTGTCCATGACATGCTTGGACCTAGACTACTTTGAGTTACCACTGGCAGTTGGAGAAAACAGCTGCTGAAAGAAGAGGTGCTTCTGCTCATGGAATGGCAGCCACAGTCTGCTGTGCTCCCTTCCTGTTGGCCAGGAAGCCTGCCAGAGCTGCTTTGTATCTTATTGTCAAAGGATCATTTCTCCTTCCAGTCAGGCAGGTCTAGCCAGGAACCAGGCACCACTTTGCACTTTGTGCCATCTCACTCCTGGGTTGAGGAGCCCTTTCCAGGATCCATAGTGAGCAGGGGATATGATGATTAATATAAATAGCCCAGAAACTGCCGTTGGCCTGGGGGTGTATAGACATAGTAACTCATCTTTTAGATAGTGGCTCCCACCCCTGTGGCCATACCACGTCTGGCTTGATCACTTTGTCTGAAGGCTATCCCAGACTTAACTCTCAAAGGAGGTACCTGTTGAATTGAGCAGCGTTGATAAAGTACAGCAGGAAGTAGAGTATGATAGTGGCTTGGGGTCCATGGCATAGGGCATAAGTGATAGTAATCCAGGTGGAGAGAAGCAGAAGGGTGATTGAGGTACATGGGAAATACGTGCATATTTTGTGGTCTTTGGTGTGGTTAGATGCTGGGCCAGGTATTCCTTGCCCGCCTTACAGATCGTCTCAAGCTTCGTTGTGAACTAGAAAGCGTTGGAGAACCTTTGGGAGTTCACACCCTCAAGGGATCTGAAGTTTAACTCATTCTAGCTAGGACTGTTAGAAGAAAAAGCTAGATTTGACCTGACCTCTTTATTCCAAGCTTCGCTTTGATCTACTTTCTGTCACACACTCTGGTGGGCAACAGTCCAGTAATGGCATCTGCTGCTTTTACAGAAAGGCGAGAGGACCTTCGAGGAAGATTTATGCTTTGCTTTTTGGACGATGGAGCAGGAATGGATCCGAGTAAGTAATGAGATGATAACATTTCTTTGTGGAAGGATGTAACCATTTTTACAAAATACTTACTATGTAAACTTGTTTTTCTGTTGCCTCGCTGTTTGACTAGAAGATCCACCTGGGGAGTGAGAGGTCTGTTGCAACATCTCAGGCTTAATTCCACTAATGTATTTGCCGAGTCTTGTCTTAACATGGGAGATAGGATCTGAATGGCAACCTGAAGTCAGTCAGATTACCTGTCTCTTGACATTGTATTTATCAGCTTTCACAACATCCTGGAGCCAAAACTACAGAGGCCTCCCCCAGCCTTTTTATCATATTCTGGTAACAACACAGGTCACTTTGATGGAGGTACTGACAGGCCAGGCAAAGGTTGCCTGCGTTTTCCTCACAGTGGCAAATTTTCTTGGAGAGAGACACAGCCTTGCTGGGATTTAACAAAGGCTTTACCTTTGATTTTGAGGAGGCTCGGAAAGAAATGCAAACATGCTTTTTACTTTCTCTTGTGTCTGTCACTTTAGGTGATGCTGCCAGTGTGATCCAGTTTGGGAAGTCGGCCAAACGAACACCTGAGTCCACCCAGATTGGGCAGTACGGGAATGGGTTAAAATCGTAGGTATACTAGAGGCCTGTCATAGGGCTCAAAACAAAATCAAGAAATGATCTCCTGCTTATCTCAGGTGAAAACTTTCCTCCTCCTTGTCCTTTCTTGACTGTAACTCTGCAGCAGGAGGAAAGTCACAAAGGGGAGGTGGTTTTGGTGTAATTTACCACCTGTTGTCCAGCTGCGTTTGCTCCACAGATTGAAAAGTATGAACATCCAAAGCTAGTTGGGGCAGGAGAGGCTGTAGTTTTTCTCTGGGCACTGAGTTCTAGAACTGCACCTGTGCTGTTGAGAATTCTCATTTTTACCCCGTGGTTTAGGATGTGAGTGGTTCTCTTGGGTTGGGATGAGTCTGAGATGGTGATGGGGTTGCCTCACAGTGCATCAGTGTTCCCTGAGCCCCTCTGCATGTACTGGTCTGTGCCAGGCCCTGGTGATCCAGGTGAGTAAGAGAGATGTGAGCCCTCCCTCCCAGAGGACGCAGCCTCCATGCCCATGTCCTGCAAGGGCCTACAGCAGGGACCTACCTAATATCTTCAGATCCCTTGGGGCATCTTTCTTAGCCCTTGGTTCACACTTGTTGAGTGTTTGGAATGTGTTCTGGTTTTGAGTGAAGCCCCAAGAGAGAGGTTTCTATTTCTGAAATGCTTACTTCCAGCTGTACATACTTTTGGATGGAATAAGATTTAGTGGAATTGGAGTTTGTGAAAGTGGAATTATGAGTCATGTTTGCAGTCTTGCTGTGGAAACGTGTTGTTTTGTGTGAGAGAGTGGTGGTTTGATCAGTCAGCAGCCTTAGTTGGGCCTCACGTGCAGTGTGCTGTGCGAGTGTGGGGAAGAAAGAGAGTGCTTCCAAAGAAATCAGGGGCCTGGTACCTGGACTTTCTGATTTGTCTCTAGGGCAGGAACCAAATGGTAATGACAGATGCTTACCATGTGCCAGGCATGGTGCTAAGACTTTAAATGGATCTCATTTAATCCTCAGTATAGCTGTAAGGTGTGGGCACTATTATTCTTATTTTTAGATGAAGACATTGAGGTTTATAAGGGTAAAGCAACTTACCCAAAGGTGTAAAAATGCCTACATGAAGAGCTAGGATATAGACTGCATCTTTCTGACTACAAAACCAGAGCTGCTGTCCATTTCACTTCAATCAGACAAACTAAGGTTCATATCTCACCTTAGCCACTTAATTACTTCTCTAAGACTCAGTTTTCTCCTTTGTAAATTGAGATTATAATACATCTCAAGTAGATTAAGGATTAAAGACTGTCCTTGCTGTGAGAGCCAGTTTTCTGGCTTCTTATTTTGTTTCTTCTTTGATCTTTCTATGGCAAATTCTTGGCCTGATTTAATATGTCTGGGTAGGGCCTAGGAATCTGTTTTTTACAGGTGAAATGAATCACTTATGGTCACAGATGAATCACTTGGAAACCTTCCCTTGGTGATTCTGATGCAGGTGATCTAAGTTGCCAATAACCAGGGTCTCTTTGGGTCAGTGGGAACTCTGACTTCCCATCTGGATTGTAGGTCAGCCTCCTCCTGCCTGGTCTTATCAGATCTGTGGCATCAGGCAAGCCATTTCATTCTGAAAGTCTGTTTCCTCATCTAGAAAATGGGATGCTAATCTCTGACATTCTCCTTTACAGAGCAAGGTTCAGGAGCAAGTGAAATGTGACTCTGAAAGTGCTTAGAAAAGAGGAAGATCTGTGGCATCAGGCAAGCCATTTCATTCTGAAAGTCTGTTTCCTCATCTAGAAAATGGAATGCTAATCTCTGACATTCTCCTTTACAGAGCAAGGTTCAGGAGCAAGTGAAATGTGACTCTGAAAGTGCTTAGAAAAGAGGGAAGGAAAATGTACAGAATTGGAGAGTGTTGTTATTAGTATATTTTAGAAGACATTGTGAAGGCCCCATTGCGAGGGAGCCATCTAGTGTTCAGAGTAGACAGTATAATCATTTTGAAACGAATTCAGAAGTTGAAAAAGAGTTCTAGGAGGAGGTGACTTGTGAGAATAGAGCTGAGAAGCAGGGAAGCCAGCAGAGAGGTGGTGTTTTGGGATTTTTGCTATTCATGCCCTAAGATCAGGGTCAAAGACAGACGGAAGAGAGAGGAACAAAGTGAGAGTTTTTGCCAAATTAGGGCAAGGACGAGTTTTGACAGAAAGCAAGATGGAGTGCCTCATTTGGCTACCCATAAGCTTCAGAAAGGAAGGAGGAGGACTGTGCAATTGTCAGGGGAAGGAGATTGCCAGCACCTCGGGTGCTGGAGGAGGAGAAACAGGACTTGGAACCCCCCTGGGCATCTCTGGATAGTGTCCTAGGAGTTTTCCTGAGTGTTCAGGGAAGTGGGGCATGACATTCATTTGTGTGCTTGGCATGCCAGTCTGGTTTGTATTTGTACATAGAAGATAGTGATGAGTCTTCCCACCTCCATCATCTCCCTGGGGTGTTATGAGGACTAATGAGATAATGGCCATAAAGCCCCAGAAGCTGCTCAGAAGAAAGGAGCTAAACAGCCCCATTGTTCATGGGCAGTCTTTCCACTGGTGCTTCACGCTTCTGCCCTCTTTTGTGATGCTAGAAAGGCCTGTCCCTGCCTGCTCCTAAGTTTTAATGTGGCCAAACAGAGGAAGGAAGTGGTTGATTCCATTCAGACTTTCTCCTGTGGAAGTCAGCCTTAAGGCATGGTTTCCAGAAACCAGTTGCATCCAAAAGCAGGGACCTGCCTGTGTTATAAGCTCAAGGTGACAAAACAATTCTGAGACAAGATGGCTATAGTTACTAAAAATGAGCCAATTATGGGCCTCCTTGGATATCATGGTCAAGAATTATATTTTGGTGGGCCAGCCCGGTGGCGCACTGGATAGTGCGCCGCTTGGGAAGCGCGGTGGCGCTCCCGCCCGAGGGTTCGGATCCCACATGCGGACCGGTTCCCACTGACTGGCTGAGCGAGGCGTGGGGGCAACGCCGAGGGTTGCGATCCCGTTGCCAGTCCCCGGTCCGGTACGGGAGCGACATTGAGGGTTGCGATCCGTTGCCGGACACGGAAAAAGACAAAAGACAAAAAAAAAAAAGAATTATATTTTGGTATGCCCTATGTTCTGCTGAGCCTTGGTTTTACACTGGTTTTTGAGGATTTGTGTGTGTAGGCACTGGGCTCTTCCCTTGATGGTGCTGCCATTCGATGAGTGGACAAGGAGGGGAGTTTGTATCAGTGAAGGAAGGACGGGATGGGAACTGGGTATGGACAGCATGGAAGATGACACGTTGAAGGTATTAGCTAAAGAAGTGAAATCTGATGGTGGCGCAGTCAGAGGGCACAGCAGCCCTCCTGTACCTAGGATGAACTTGGAGCTCAAGGGCTGCAGAGTTACTTGTTAGCATGTGGCAACAGGCTGGGAGTGACAGTCACCTGGGGCTAGTGTTTCGTGGTGAAGATGCCCTAGAAGGGTGGGGAGATAGCCCTGTATAATGGGTAAGTGTGGTTAAGAAGCTTGGAGATAAAGACTGAGGAATTATAGGCCAGTGGAAAAACAGACCAAGGAATGTCGGATGGGTGGACGGGGAACAAGGGCTGTGGAACTCAGTGTCCTGGAACCTAGGAAAGCCTTTAGGAGAGCCCTCCAAAGGCAGTTTAGTTATGTCCACAGGGCGGATTTACTCCTTTTTCAGATGAGCTTTTGAATCCCTGGGAGAGTAATTTGTTTCTGCTTCCCTTGCAGGGGCTCAATGCGCATTGGGAAGGATTTTATCCTCTTCACCAAGAAGGAAGACACCATGACCTGCCTTTTCCTGTCTCGCACCTTTCATGAGGAAGAAGGCATTGATGAAGTAGGTTCCATCTTCATGTTCTGAATCACCACTCCACATTTCCAGGGTCTGCCCAGACTGGTTTTTTTTTGCAGTGCTAGGCTCTTTGGGGTTGCAGGATTGGAGCACATCCCCCTTTATGGGATTAGCTGGTTGGATGAATTGGTTGAAAGGTTAAGGCAGATACCTTAATGTGAGAGGAAATGGAATCTCAAAGCACTTCAGAGAACAGTTGTTTTGTTTCTGAGAATGAGACCATCAAGTGGCAGGAACAAAGAGGTACATTTGCAGCACCTCTAGATCTGCAGCTTGACTTCCATCTGGGGGAGTGTCACCACAGAGAGTTGTTTTATCAGGGGGAGTGTTTTGGGCTTCCCTATCCGTGGAGACCATAGCTGGCAATAATAGTAGGAACGGCAGTGTCTTTCCATTTGACGGTGATTTTGTGGTATGTACTATAAGCGCATTTTTCTTTTGAGGAAATGTGTTGCTCTAGCTGCTTATTTCAGAAGCCACGAATCAGACACAGACAGGTCTGGGGCAGGTGGTAAAGCAGGTGAGCATATGGAAAAACATCAGTGTAAACTTCTTGTTAAACGGCAGCTGATGGTCAGGCTCACTTTGGGATTGGCTACTACACAGCTCCAGTGATTATTGCTGTGCTGAAAGGAAGGCTTAATGAATTCTGAATTTACTGACTTTAAAACATTTTGTTAATCATGTGAGGTAAACATATGCTCAGCTGATTCTCTTTTTGGCCTAGTGGCTCAGATATCTGCAGAGCTGTTTCTGGTGAGGTTTGTTCTGCCTCATTGGGGGCATCCAGGAAATTTTATGGTCTATCTAGTCTCAGATTGGACTCTTATCTCCTTTTGTGTGAAAGGAATGGAGACTAGAGCTTGAGAGAAGAATCTGAGAGGTTCTGTAGAAGGAAATCCATGGCTATCACATAAGCAGATAGTTGAATTCAAACTTTCAGTCTAATTCATTTCTGTTGGTTATATGTGATCAAATTTGTACTGACCCTGTTTAGATCTGAGCCTAAATCATAGCAAACATAGCAGTCTTGTTGGGAATGGCAGGCTGTCTTTTTGTACCATCTTTACTAGCAAGCCAGTGGATTTGTTTGCCTTTTTGGTGGGGTATATTAATTCATTTACCATACTTGGAATGAGAGAAATGCTGCACCTGGAAAGAGCAGGCTGCTAGGAGAAGGTGGGATGGGAGCATGTAGTCTGGGCAGGGGTTTTCAGTAATGTGTCCTGGTGATGGACTGAGGGTGGCAAGAGGAGGGTGTTCAAGTCAGTAGAAACAGCTTGCTCAAGGCTCTGAGGGCTGGTGATGTGAAGGGAACTTGGCAGCAGGGCCACCTGAAGAAAGGTGGTAGCCTCTGGAGAGTAGGGAGGGCCAGGTTAGGCTTGAGGTCAGGACCTTGTTGAGTGTGCAGGACTTTATTAAGCAAGGGTGTGCCAGTGTCAGATTCTCTTTTAAAAAGATCTGTGTAGGGGCTGGCCCGGTGGCGCACTGCTACAGTGCGCCGCTTGGGAAGCGCGGTGGCACTCCCGCCGAGGGTTCGGATCCCACACACAGACCGGCCGCTCACTGGCTGAGCGAGGTGCGGGAGCAACACTGAGGGTTGCGATCCCGTTGCCGGTCCCGGTCCGGTACGGGCGCGACACTGAGGGTTGCGATCCATTGCCGGTCACGAAAAAAGACAAAAAAAAAAGGAAAAAAAAAAAAGATCTGTGTAGTTATTGTGTGGTGATTGGATTGGGAACATTGGGGGTGAGTGTTGGAGTGGACCAATTGAGAGGCCCTGGCTGTGTGTAGCCTGTTGGGACATGCAGCAGGGAGGGGAGAGATGGAGTTGTTATCTCTTTAGGATGTGGGACTTACAGATTTGGTGATTAGTCAGTAGAGGGGGAAGAGGGGAAGGTAGGGGTCGTGGATGACAGGTTCAGAGGTGGCAGTTGGTGAGGGGGTGGGCTGTCTGGGGCTGAGGAAGAATGGGAAGAGGGAGAGTGTGGAAGGGAAGAGTGTAAGTTTGTCCTGGACATGCAAAGTGACGTCTGGGTCTGGAGTTTGGAGGTCTGGGCTCTGGGATTCTCGGTAGCAAATGAGCTCACCTAAAGGGCAGAGTAGAGTGATAAGAGGACCTGGGACATAGGGCATGCCAGTGTCTAAAGATCAGGGAGAAGAGAAAGTGATAGAGAGACAGAGGGGTGGCCAGAAAGGTGGGAAAACCGGGAGAGTGGTGACACTGAAGCTAAAGGAGAAGTGTTCCAGCAGGAGGGATGGGTGCCAGTGGAAGTGAACTCCTGTAGTTTAAAGTGATGCCATTGTCACCTGGGACTGCTGTAAAGAATGGGAGGTGTAGAGAGAGGTACAGGTTCATAGAACACAAATGGAACTCAGTTCTGGTGGAAAAGCTAGGTTGAGATTTTTCCCTTGGTGCTAGAAGGTCACTATTTTGGATTGTTCTGTAGTGCAAACTTGGCCAAGATTTCAAAATAAGATCATTTTCGGCTGAGGAGGAATGTGTCCACACCAGCCCTTGGGTTGAATACTTTTCACCACCAGGCTTCTTAGAAACCAGCAGAATGTCTCAGAACTCTTAATAATTTATCACCCCAGCACTTGTTTTTCCTAAGGGTGGGCCATCTGGTTTGAACCCCTGTGGTGCCTTGACTGGTTTGCTGTACAGAGGGAATCCCTTCAGTCAGCCATCCTCAGGGCCCTGCAAGGGTGGCTGGCTTGGGGTAGGGGGAGGAGAATGGTGAGGCCCCTGGAGAAAACATTACTTAGAAATAAAGTTAAATTTTACATATATGGAAGGGTGTATTTAAATATATGTACAGTTGAGTGGATAATTATAAAGCAGACACCCATGTAGCCACCTCATAGACAATGTTAGAAATCCCCTGTGGGCCCTCACTAATTGTATTCCTCGTCATGCCCTGAAGGAACTACCTTCAGGTGACTTTTGTGATGAGCATTCCTTCTTTCTCTTTATAGTTTGTCACCTGCATATGCATCCTTAAATAATAATTTAGTTTTGCCTATTTATGAATTTTCTTTTTTTTTTTTTGTCTTTTTGTCTTTTTTCGTGACCGGCAACGGATCGCAACCCTGTGTCGCGCCCGCACCGGACTGGGACCGGCAACGGGATCGCAACCCTCGGTGTTGCCCCCGCTCCTCGCTCAGCCAGTGAGCGGCTGGTCTGTATGTGGGATCCGAACCCTCGGCGGGAGCGCTGCCGCGCTTCCCAAGCGGCGCACTGTAGCAGTGCGCCACCGGGCTGGCCCAATGAATTTTCTACTGTAGATTTTTTTATCCTATTTTATGTAACACTGTGTTTATGAGATTCATCCATGTTGATGCTATTAGCTGTTTATTCATTTTCATCACTGCATAGTGTTCCATTGTATAAATATCCTGCAGTTTAACCACTCTATAATGGATATTTGGGCTATTCTTACACATACTAACTACTTGTATAATGTGCAAAAGTTTCCTCTAGGGTATATGCATAGTAGTAGAATTGCTGAGTTGTAGGTTACGTACTGTATATCTTTAGATTGACCAGATAATTGTAAATATATTTTCTGTAGTGCTAAGAGTAGAATTTTTATCAAGTTAAGAAAATGGCAGAGACAACCCCAACAGGGAACTGCCTGTACAGAGACTGACCCCCAGGACATAAACCATCATATCCTGAGAGGAAATAGTGATGTGCGGCTGAGTCTTGGGAAAGGCAAAAAACACAGAGCCTTGGGTGCCAGGCTGCAGAGCTTGGGCCTCACCTCTGGGGCAGTGTGGAGCCACTGTGGGCAGGGACAAGATAGATGCACATTTTGGGGGAACATTGTTCTGGTGCCTCCCTCAAGGTGTCTGCCTATGTTTACTCCAAAGGTGATAGTCCCGTTGCCCACCTGGAATGCTCAGACCCGGGAACCTGTCACAGACAATGTGGAGAAGTTTGCCATTGAAACAGAACTCATCTACAAGTACTCTCCCTTCCACACTGAGGAGGAAGTGATGGCCCAGTTCATGAAGATTCCTGGGGACAGTGGTAAGTAGGCTTCGAACCTGTAGCCCCTAGAATCTGGGAGCTCCAGAGCCACAAGTTGTGTAGGGATGGGCTGGGGCACCTGGCAGAACAAAAGGATTTCTATTCCCCAGGAACACTGGTGATCATCTTCAATCTCAAACTCATGGATAACGGAGAGCCAGAACTAGATATAATCTCAGATCCAAGAGATATCCAGATGGCAGAGACCTCCCCAGAGGGCACGTGAGTGTGTCTGGGAAGGGATGGATGCACTGGAACTGATGGTCATTATTTCAGGAGGTGATTTCAGAGAAAAAGGGGAGAGTGTATTCCCTAGATTTCTCCCAGGGGCAGCGTTGGAATTGATGGGCCTCAGAGCTCCACGTCTTGTTGCTGCAAGGCAGAAGGAATGAGTAGAAGGACAACAGATCCTTAGCTAAGCTGAAAGAAAAGATTAATGATCCTTTGGTTTGATAGAAGAAACTGAGGTCTAGAGAGGGGAGAGAAATTGTCCAGAGTTCCATAGTAGGGCCAGGTCAGGTGTCTGTGGGGCACCTGTGCTGGGGATGTAAAGTGGGAAGTTTGCGGTGCCCATGTTGGGCAAGCACCCCATCAGGGCAGCAAGAGAAGCTGAGATGTGAAATGGAAAAGTGCAGGGCCTGCAGAAAGGATGTTGTATCCTTGGGCTCGTTATGGGGTGGGTGACACCACTCCTGTTCCTGCCACCTCCAGGAAGCCAGAGCGGCGCTCATTCCGTGCCTATGCTGCTGTCCTTTATATCGATCCCCGGATGAGGATCTTCATCCACGGGCACAAGGTGCAGACCAAGAGGCTCTCCTGCTGCCTATACAAGCCCAGGTAGGGGCCTGCCCACCCTGGCTTGCTGTTTTCCGTGGGCCGAGGCTGGAGTCTGGCCACGTTTCTCTGGGCATTGTTGGAGTGATGCCGTATGATAGGCTCTGACAGTGCTGACTGCATTTGGGCTCTTAAGATGCCTGTGATTTATCAGAGTCACTTCTGGGTCCTGAGGGAGGGACAAAGGTGGCTACGTGGGCCGAGGCTGGAGTCTGGCCACGTTTCTCTGGGCATTGTTGGAGTGATGCCGTATGAGAGGCTCTGACAGTGCTGACTGCATTTGGGCTCTTAAGATGCCTGTGATTTATCAGAGTCACTTCTGGGTCCTGAGGGAGGGACAAAGGTGGCTAACTAGCTGTGGAGGCTGGGTAAGCTCCTTGAGTATGAGTGCTTTCTGTGATGTAGAGGGTACCCTGCTTGGCACGGTGAACTGTCTGAATCTCTTGGCTTCAGAGTTGAGGGGCCTTTAGACACTATACAGGAAAACAGAGGCCCTGTCTTATTATTGAGGTTCTTTTCTGTCGTGGGATTAATGACACTACTGGTGAATAGTAAGGTTGCTTATCAGAGACAGAGCAGGAGGCCAGGGGCAAGTCGAATAGGGAATTGAATCTTTTTGCTAAGGTAAGCTTGGATTTGTCTCATTGCAAGGGGCCAGGACAGCACAACTTGGGAGGAGACAGGAAAGCAGGGTGCTTCCTGACTTCTTGGCTTGGCTGCCTGCCCCACTGCTGTACGGGCCTTCAGGTTGCTTTTTCTACTGTTCAGGATGTACAAGTACACATCAAGCCGTTTCAAGACCCGTGCTGAGCAGGAGGTGAAGAAGGCAGAACACGTAGCACGGATTGGTAATGTCACTCTCTGCATAGGAGGGTTTGGGGTGGGGGTTGTCTGGGGGATGCTGCTTGTGGCCAAAGCAGGGATCCAGGGAAAGGCTCCATCTACCACGCAGGGACAGGGCTGTTCTGAACCACAGTCCAGTTCTTTTTCAACCCTTTCCACATACCAACCCCCTCAGCACTTTTTCTCTTCAGACTCTTTCTCTTTTTCAGCTGTTTATAGGGCCTTATCTGAAAGTGTCAACTCTTTGTCTTGCCCAGAGTAAAGAATCCCACCCACACTGTCCTCTGACCCAAATATTTGTGAAATTGATTTTTCTGACTCCAGGGCTTGGCATCCAGCTTATGACGAGGGTTTAACTCTGGTTGCCTTGGGCTTTTTTTTGACAGGTCCTGATTGATTTGTAAAGTTTGAAAAGCATACCTCAGGTGTAAATAGTACGTGTTTTCCTTGGGGCCTCAGTGAAGTTTCTGAATGCCAGGTTTTCCTTTTTGAGCCAACTCTGCAGTGCAGGCTTGGAGGATACTCTCATGTTGATCACCAACCTTTGCCCCTCAGCTCTCCTTTTCCTTCATAGTGTAAACACTTTTTGTGCAGCAGGGACTGGATGGTGGATCCAGGAGGGATGATGGAGAGTTTTGAACCTTTGAATTCCTTATCATGGTTTCTGCTGGATTTCAGCTGAAGATAAGGCACGGGAGGCAGAGAGCAAAGCTCGGACCTTGGAAGTACGCCTGGGTGGAGACCTCACACGGGACTCCAGGGTAAGGCCCTAGACCCAGGTAGCTATTCTCCAGCATTTCTGGCATTAGGAGTCCATGTCATGCAAGCCTGGTGAAGGGAAATGCAGCTTTTGAGTTTGTCCCCAGTGAAGGCCATTTTCTCGAGAAAGAAATAAATCTCTAGGTGTGGTTTTGCATTCATTTTGAGTTATAGTGAGAAGTTTTAGGTGTGATGTCATAATGTGGTCCAGAGCACCTCCTCCCTTGACCTGACGGTGTATGTATGCAGGTGATGTTGCGACAGGTCCAGAACACAGCCCTCACCCTGCGCAGAGAAGCTGATGTCAAGAAGAGGATCAAGGAGGCCAAGCAGCGGTGAGTACCAGAGCTGTCCTTTGGTCCTTTAAAATTGTTTAGCCTTTGTACTGATTATTGGTAATTACAGAGCTTGAGGAAGTCTCATCACCTCCTGTGAGGTTGCTGTTCTGTCACCAAGACTGAGTTGAGAAAGCTGTTAGAGTTGTGATCCTAAATGCTTGTCATGTGGCCCCTGCAGGAGAGAGGTCTCACCCTGAGCTCTCAACTCTTTCCTAAGCTAGGAAAAGGCAGGGCAGAGTCAACACCTCGAATTGAACATCAAACTGTCCTCGCTAGTACTGTCTCACCTTTTCCTTTTTCTTTTCTTTTTTTCATTTAAAGGATGTTTAAAATGCTCATTGTAGAAAACATGAAAATTACAAAACATTTAAGAAATAAAATTTTGGGCCGGCCCGGTGGCGCACTTGGTAGAGTGTGGCGCTGGGGAGCGCGGCGGCGCTCCCACCGAGGGTTCGGATCCCATGTAGAGACTGGTCCGCTCACTGGTTGAGCGCGGTGCGGACGCGACACCGAGGGTTGCGATCCCGTTACCGGTCACGAAAAAAGACAAAAAAAAAAAAAAAAAGAAATAAAATTTTAAAACTCCCTTATACTTCTACCACTTGGTGATATATACTCATTTTTTTAATGTTATATATGTATATATGTTTATTTTCCCTTCACTGGTTACAAATGTGGAATAATGCTGTAAATTGAGTTTTGTAGACTTTTTCATTTAGAACAAGCGTTTGTTGTGTATTATTAAACTGTCTCCTGGTCCCAGCCTCTGTCTGGATCCTCTTCAGCTCTGGTGCTTGATTGCTGGCTTGCATCTTGTTGGCCTCCTTGCCACAGGCATAGGTTTCAGGTTTCTTCTGTACAAGTCAGTCTGCTTTTCAGCTTCCAAAATTTTGTTGACATTAATCACATGATGTCTTCTTTCACATTTATTGTTTTTTGTGAATTTTTTACTTTTTAAAAAAAATTTACTGTCACGATAGTGGAATTTGGGGAAGATATGATGATAACCTTGTATTTATTCTACCTTGTAAATATCTTTGCAAAGATTTTTAGCAGCTTTACAGTAACCCATTTATGCTTAAATCCATCTCTGTTTTGTTACCAAAGAGCCAAAGTTGTATACTTTTTTTTTTTTCCTTTTTGTCTTTTTTCGTGACCGGCAACGGGATCGCAACCCTCGGTGTCACACCCGCACCATGCTCAACCAGTGAGCGGACCGGTCTCTATATGGGATCCGAACCCTCAGCAGGAGCGCCGCACTCTACCGAGTGCGCCACCAGGCCGGCCCGAAAGTTGTATACTTTTAATTAGGGATGCTTAGAGGTGCACATCAAGTCTGACAGAGGCTACACATTGAATGGAGATCTAAAACTTTTTGCTTAACATGTCTCAAGTTTAAGCTTAAGCTTAACACGGCTTAAGCACCATGGTGTTTATGTACTAATGGGTGCATTCTTTTGGTCTTTCTTAGAGCATTGAAAGAACCTAAGGAACTAAATTTTGTTTTTGGGGTCAACATTGAACACCGGTACTTGGATGGCATGTTCATCTACAACTGTAGCCGCTTGATCAAGATGTATGAGAAAGTGGGCCCACAGCTGGAAGGAGGCATGTAAGTACTACCCAAGGGGAGCTTCCAGGCCAAGGTGATGGCAGGAGGGTTTTGGCCAGCAGGGTGACAGAGCTATGTCCTCTTTTCCCTGTAGGGCATGTGGTGGGGTTGTTGGTGTTGTTGATGTGCCCTACCTGGTTCTGGAGCCTACACACAACAAGCAGGACTTTGCTGATGCCAAAGAGTACCGGCACCTGCTGCGGGCCATGGGGGAGCACCTGGCGCAGTACTGGAAGGACATTGCGATTGGTAATGGGGTTGGGCCTCTGCCCTTCTTCTTCACATGAATTTAGGAAGGGAAAGAGACTGGCTCCTAACACAATATGTGGGGGTTTGTCTTCCAGCCCAGCGGGGAATCATCAAGTTCTGGGATGAGTTTGGCTACCTCTCTGCCAACTGGAACCAGCCCCCATCCAGTGAGCTGCGTTACAAACGCCGGAGAGCTATGGAAATACCTACCACTATCCAGTGCGGTGAGTTGGGTGGTTGGGACCCTCCTGACTCTTTTCCATCGTAGTCCTTGAACCTCTTATCTCTGTCCTTTTGCTGGCCTCTTTACTAATGTTTGTGGACTTATGGTCCCACTAAGGATATGAGTCTGTCCGGTGATGGCCCTGTGAGTTCAGTCTTGAGGCTGTGCTGAGTTCCACCTGTCCCTCTTGAATGAGGAAGAAGGTCATCTAACCTCCCAGGCCTCTTAACCTGCAGCTGGGCTTGGCATCACTTGCTTTGTACCACATTGTTTCTAGCATGAGTGGATGACTGAGCCAGGATCCTGCTATAGGAGAGAGAGGGATTGGGGGGCATTAAGAGTCCATGGTATTAAGTTCTCATTCTTGCTGGAATAACTGTTCCTGAGAATAATTACTGTTCTATTAGGACAGGCAGAATTTGAACCAGAGTGAAGATCTTTGCATGGAAAGTCTGAGGCATCTCGGCCTTGGGCCTGGATGTGAGGAGACTGGATTACAGAGGTAGTTGGTGGGTGTGGCTGACATTGGTGTGGGCATTTTCTGTGTTTCAGATTTGTGTCTGAAGTGGAGGACCCTCCCCTTCCAGCTGAGTTCTGTGGAAAAAGATTATCCTGACACCTGGGTTTGTTCCATGAACCCTGATCCTGAGCAGGACCGGTGAGCACTTTCTCTAACAGGGGGATTGTGGGTACTTCTCCCCCCAGATGGTTCTCTCTACGTGTAGGGTAGATAACTCACTGTGCTTCCTGAGGTCAGTGCCCATATCCTTATGTCTTTGTCTTGCTGCTCATATTAAGTGCCCAAGAAATAAGAATAGATATAGGTCTGGCAGTACATATTAATTCCATGCATCAGGAATTCTGAGATGGTTGCTCTTGTGAGAGGCAGCGTGGGTTAACTGAGGAGCAAGGTTCCTGCCTTGCCTGGAGCTTTGTTTTGCCAGGATGTCCCTAGCACCTTCTTTCTACAGATGTGAGGCTTCTGAACAGAAGCAGAAGGTTCCACTGGGAACATTCAAAAAGGACCCGAAGACTCAGGAAGAGAAGCAGAAGCAGCTGACAGAGAAAATTCGCCAGCAGCAGGAGAAGCTGGAGGCCCTTCAGGTGCATGGGTCATGGGCACTGGGCAAAGCCAGCTTGTGTCAGGGTTCTGCCTGGGATAGGAACCTTCAGTAGCTCCCCTGTTCCCTCAGGCTTATTAATTTCACCTTCCACTTACCTACATGTGCTTGTCAAAGCTTCTAGTATCAACCTCTAGGTCTAAGCACACTTTCAAGTATGCCTTGCTTATTCTTTTTTAAAAACACTGTTTTGTTTATCTCAGAATTTTCTAATTAGTTTAGAATGTATAAAAACTCTACAAAATAAATCTTCTATCTTAGAGCTAACCATCAACTCTATATTTTTCCAACTTTTTAGGAATACCTACAAATAATACACATAAATACATAAGTTTTTTTATTTTTATTTTTTTTTGTTATTTTTTTTAGTGGCTGGCCAAAACAGGGATTGAACCCTAGACTTTGGTGTTATCAGCAGCCATGCTCTAACCAATTGAGCTAACTGTCCAGCCCCATGGATACATGTTTTTAATAGAAATATGGAGATTGCTTATATGTATATATTTTATATATATGTAATATATATATGCACACACACATATATATTTTAGTGTATAGTTTTCTTGATCATTTTCCAGCAGTGATATTTAAAGAGTAAAATGTTTTGCAGAATTTTATGGGTTTTCACAACCATTTCCAAATTGCCCTCCAGAAGATGTATTAATTTTTAATCTTTATGAGCAGTATATGAGAGTATTATTTTTAAATGTTTTTGCAAATTTGATAGCCAAAGATATGCATCCTATAATTTTCTTTCATGTTTCTAAGATTGGACTGTTTTTTCATATGTCCACTTATGTTTCTTTTAGAACTGCTTATTCTTCATTACATTTCTATTTTTTAAAATTTAATTGATTACTCTATTTTTTCTAGATGTTTGTGATATCAGCTCTCTGTCATATTTTTTACAAGAGCATTTCCCTTCTGGCTTGTGTGTCTGGGCAGACATGCACTCACTAACCCTAATGTCTTATGCTTGCCTCCCCATCTCCTGAATCCCACTTGTCCTTTCTGGCCTTGTCCAAGTTTCTCTCATCCATCAAGTCTTCCTACCTTTTTGATTTTTTTTTTTTCCTGACCGATAAGAGGATCGCAACCCTCGGAACGGTGTGGTCTGCACCACGCTCAGCCAGTGAGTGCACTGGCCATCCCTATATAGGATCCAAACCCGCAGCCTTGGTGCTACCAGTGCCGTACTCACCCAAGTGAGCAACGGGGCCGGCCCTTTGATTTCTTTTATACAAATTTAGTTCACTGACATTTTTGGTGGCTGGCTGGTAAGGAGATCTGAACCCTTGACCTTGGTCTTATCAGTACCAGCTCTAACCAAGTGAGCTAACCAGCCAGCCCCCTGACACTTTTTCTCTGTCTCTCAGTTGCTGGATTAATCACGTAGTGTCCTATAATTTGCCGTTTAGTGTTTGTATATTTTTGTCTACCCAGTGAGAATGGGAGGCATGCAAGAGTAGGACTGTGGCCCAGGTTTTCTTTTTTATTTGCTCACTGTCCCAGACACATAGTGGGGTCCAAAAAGAGAGTTTGCTTGAATGTACAAAGATACACAAACAACTTCATCATCATGTTTGCCCTGCAGAAAACCACACCCATCCGTTCCCAGGCTGACCTGAAGAAACTGCCTTTAGAAGTGACCACCAGACCTCCCACTGAGGTAAAATCCAGGGGCATGAAGGGGTTTTTCTTCAGGTGTCTCGTGCTAGGATCAGTGTTCTCACTCTCTGGACCTTTTTTTAGGAACCTGCACGTAGACCTCAGCGTCCTCGGTCTCCCCCTTTACCTGCTGTGATCAAGAATGCCCCGAGTAGACCCCCTTCCCTGCAAGCTCCCAGACCACCCAGCCAGCCCCGAAGGGCTCCTATCATCAGCAGCGCCTCAAAGCCTCCTGTCTTGGCAGCCCGTGAGGAGGCCAGTACATCCAGGCTGCTCCAGCCCCCTGAAGCACCCCGAAAGCCTGTGAACACTCTGGTCAAGACTGCACCCCGGCCTGCTCCTCTGGTGCAGCCACTATCACCATCTCTACTGCCCAACTCCAAGAGCCCTCGGGAGGTCCCTGCCCCCAAAGTCATGAAGACTCCGGTGGTCAAGAAGCCAGAGCTGCCCACTAAACTCTCCCTGGTGAGATGGTGTTTCTTCTCTAGCACCCAGCACATCGTCAGTGGTGTAGTAATGGAAACGTGGTGTCAAAGCTGTACTGGGGGACCCTTCAAAGAGCATCAAATCTAAAGCTTTTCTACTGTCCCTAGATAGCTGAGAGGACTTGGTCAGGGACACAAAGCAAGTTGGTTCCCCATCCAGGAAGATGTTCACTGCTTCCTTCGAGTTTTGGTCTGCCACAAACTTGAGTCACCTCAAGTGGCTGCTCACAGTGTGGGCATAGGCAGGTGGCCTGGAGACAGCCTTGGTGGGCTATGACAGTGATCAGCATGTCTCAGGGAGGTCACAGTTGACTGGTCAGGCAGGCTAAGGGGAGGTGTAAACCAAGAGGCTTCCCCTATGACAACTTTGAGCAAAGGTCCTCGTGGCCCAGGAACCAGAGGGTTGCTTCTGTATGTACTGAGTAATGTTAGGCAGGGATTGAGAGCAGTCCACGCCCCTCTCTGAACAGCTCCTTCAGGTCAGATGAAATCTTCCTGCTGCTCAAGGGCTGAACAGGGCCTCTCACATTCCTACTCTCTGCTCACTCTAGGCTACCCCTGTTCGAAAGCGGAGTGTGGGGGTCTCTGATGAGGAAGAAGCCGAGGAAGAGGCTGAGAGGAGGAAGGAGAGGAGCAAGCGGGGCAAATTTGCTGTGAAGGAAGAAAAGGATTTGAATGAGGTAGGTGGTCAAGATGAGGGTCTTGGAGCCTCCCTTCCCTGAGTCTGCAACCCGCACCAGCAGTCCACACCATCTTCATTGGCATTCGTGACCTGGGCCTTCCAGAAGCCTAACTGATCTCTCAAGGACTCTCAGTCACATAGGTGACTAGAAACATGGTGCCAGGTAGGATCTTGAGACTGGCTTCTGGCTCTAATCACAGACCTGAAGTCACTGACACTCATCAGGGGGGCTTGAAACACTTTGTTTCCTCCTTCTGTGACATTCTGTCTCTTATCTACTATTTCGTTTAAATATGGCAGAAGGGGAGATATCTAGGACAATGATTTTAGAGAGTGGCTCTCAGTGAGGCATGGTGATTTAAACTGCAACATAAAAAGACATGAAGGTGACAGCTGATGACCTTCGGTGGCTGTTAACACAAAAGTCTGCTCTTTGCAGGGGGGCACTGGAGATGCCTCTAACAGACTGTTCTCTTTGAAGCTCTCAGACAGTGCTGGGGAAGAGGAGCCAGCTGACCTCAAGAGGGCTCAGAAAGGTAAGTTTAGGGGAGGTATTTAGCAGCCTGTAGTGGAAAGGGAAGTGGTGGCCCTCACCAGCAACAGTTTAATCCTGAAGGTTTGTGGAGTCTTTCCTGGGTCTGGGCTCTTGTGCAACAATGGATCTAAATCTAATCCCAAGTAGAATTCTGAAGATAGCACTCCTTTGTGGTTATTTTTAATTCCTTGGTGTTCACACCTGGCAGTCATTCATCCTCCTGCTCCTTGGCACCTTGTGACAAATGGGGAAGGAGACCAGGGTGGCTGGGTTCTGTATCCCTGGTATAGTGGGGTCACGCACCTAGTCCTCCAAACCCTGGGGACTACTTTTCTTAAGGCAGCCCTTGCTTAGTAGGGGACTCTGGTTTTTTGACTTGCATCTCTGTCCACATTCTCAGATAAAGGGCTGCATGTGGAGGTCCGTGTGAACAGGGAGTGGTACACAGGCCGTGTCACAGCCGTGGAGGTGGGCAAGCATGTGGTGCGGTGGAAAGTGAAGTTTGACTATGTGCCTACAGACACGACACCACGAGACCGCTGGTAATGCCTCGTTCTGGCAGGCAGGGATGAAAGAAATTGGCCAGGGCAGAGGGAGGAGCAGTGGTTCTTGGGACAGACATGACATAAGTTCTTTGTCCTCCACAGGGTGGAGAAAGGCAGTGAGGATGTACGGCTGATGAAGCCCCCTTCTCCAGAATATCAGAGCCCTGACACGCAGCAGGAGGGTGGGGAGGAGGAGGAGGAGGAGGAGGCGGCAGCAGCAGCAGCAGCCATGGTGCCCCAGCAGGCTGTAGCCATGGCAGAACCCTCCACGAATATCAGAGCCCTGACACGCAGCAGGAGGGTGGGGAGGAGGAGGAGGAGGAGGAGGCGGCGGCAGCAGCAGCAGCAGCAGCCATGGTGCCCCAGCAGGCTGTAGCCATGGCAGAACCCTCCATTTCAGACTGCATCCGCATTGAGCCTGACACCACTGCCCCGAGCACCCACCATGAGACCATTGACCTGCTCGTCCAGATCCTCCGGTATGTGAGTCTTTTGTCTTCCTATTCCAGGGCCAGCAGCAGCTCTCCACACCCTACGTGCTATTCTGAATTCCTGTCCCCACCTTTCTTTCTTAGGAATTGTTTACGGTACTTTCTGCCTCCGAGTTTCCCCATCTCCAAGAAGGAGCTGAGTGCTATGAATTCAGATGAGCTAATATCTTTCCCTTTGGTGAGTCTGTCCTGACCTTGTATTTCGAATTCTCTGTGTCTTCCCATCAGTGCTTGTTGTAATTGCCAGCTCTCAGTGACCTGCCCCATATCAGTCAGCTTCCCTTTCTTCTGCTGAGAGGAGGGAGGAGGAAACTTCATGTTGAGAATATGACTGGTGTGCAGAAACCAACCTCGTCCCACCACAGGTGCTAGGAACTGAGTCCTCTCTTAGGGACAGCAGGCCTGGTTTGACATTTTCTGACAAGTACATCCCTTTTTCTCCACCCCAGCAGAGGGAGTAAACTTGTCCCAGGCAACAGTGAAGAGCTCAGGCTCAAAGTGCCTAAAACTTGATTCTTGGAGGTATAGAGAAGCCCATAACATGTGGCAGTAAGCACTGCGCCTTATTAAGCCCAGCAAATGTTGATGTGTTGCCTCCCCTGAGCAGGCAGTCTGCGGGATCTCATAGTGAGCAGCAGAAGAGAGTCGTGCCTCCTCGCAGCTTAAGGGTCAGTAGAGACTGTTTTATCACCAGGAAGCTAGACGTGAAGCCAAGAGCAGTGCTGTGCAAGTGGACGGGAGGGCTGTGGCAGCTGGGGGAAGGGGAGGAGGGGTCTGCCTGCATAAGTGAAGCAGGGACTGTTGTGGGCAAAGGCTCAGGGAGTCAGGGCAGCAGGCTGTGTGGTGAGCATTTAGGGTAGAAAAGGCCTGAGGGCCAGGATGTGATGTGCCTTGAACCTGAGTCATGCTGGCTTCAACTTTGTATGAAATAGTGGGCCAACAAAGTTTTGAGCTGAAGGTATTGTCGATTGGAGCCATGTCTAGGGTAGAGGCCAAGAAACTTCTTCTGTAGAGAGTCAGTGAGCAAATAATTTCAGGTTTGCGGGCTACGCTGTCTCTGTGGCACCTACCCAACTCTGCCATTGTAGCATGAAATCAGCCACATACAACATGCGAAGGAGTGGATGTGGCTGTGTTCCCATAAAGCTTTATTTACAAAAACAGGAGGTAGGCTGATTTGGCTCAGAGGCTGTAGTCTGTTGACCCTGCTCCTAAGAGGGTAACTTTGGTAGCAGTATGTTTGGGTGGGATGGAGGGGTGGGAGACGCAGGGGCCAGGAGGCTGGTCTAGTTGTAAAAGGTCACAGGTGAGGGAATGGGAGCCAGAGTGGCAAGAGTGGACTGGTGGGTAAAAGGGTGGGGTCAGAGGTCTCTGACAGACTGGTCATTGACTGTATAGGCAAGTGATGGGAGGAGTCAGAGACTGGATGCTTCCCTGCATCTCAGGCCTGTGGGAACTGGAGTTTGATGACAAAACAATTACTTTGTCATCAAAAGTTAGAAAACAGGGTGAGTGGGGGGAAGGTGAGGAACGGAGATTGGTGTTGCACCAGAAGTACCAGCACTGCATTTGTGGTGATGTGAAGTTGGCAGGTGGAGGTTAGGGACTGTGTGCAGTTGGCAGGTGGAGGAAGGGGAGATGGGCAGCTAGGGGTCATCCGCATCAAGTGTAATGTTTATGTGGTAAGAATAGCTAAGTGTTCTAGGGAAGAGTTTTTAGAAAAGAGGTATGGAATAGAAACCACAGGATTAATATGTTCAAGATGTCAGGCTCTCATGTGGCATCTATGTGCTTGATAAAGTTTGCCAGAGAAAGCATGGGGTTTTATTTTCATTCCACTTTTAAAGAAAATGAAATGAGGCTAGGAGTTGAAGAAACTAAGGCTCAGAGAGAAGAGTCTGTTGGTTAGAGGCAGAGCCCAGATTTGAATCGAGGTACTTCTCAGGACAAGGATCTTTGTCTTCTCACGATGCGGCCTTGAGAGGGGATGGTGCTTGGTGAGGGAGCAGGAACATGGCAGAACTCATCACAGCTTCTTCACAGAAAGCTCCACGGTTCAACTTTTGCCCTTGGTTAGGCTGCAGGTGCTCTCTGCAAATCCCGGGAACAAGGATTAGTTAACAAGCAGCTAGGTCTGCCTCACCGCTTCTCGTCAGTCAGATTTGTTGCTTTTGGCTTAAAGTTGCTGCCAAGTGCAGAGCAAAGCCTGGGTACAGTGGGATCTTTGAGCAGGGTTGGCCCAAACCAAAGTCACCATGAGCATCTGACTAAAAATAGTATATTAGCTTAGTTTTGTAAAAGGAGGTGTAATCCCAATGTATCAACTTTTTCTTCCTAATTGTAATGTCTAAAAACACTCAAACTTTAATTTTTTTAGTGTCCTGGACACAACCGAGTCTGTTCATTATGTCCTTGTGAGTCTGTAAACGTAAATGTCAGCCAGCCCTTTCTCCCATCATGCAGGACCAGGAGTTCTGTAAAGCCTCAGGGACCCTGAAAATATTAGATTCAGACATCATTTTTTAAAAAACTAATGTAACAACTGCATGTGAATCTACAACTACCTCAAAATAAAAAGTTAAAAACAATTATTATAAACCATAGTCACCCTCAAGATGGTTAAATACTTGAACTTTAATACTTTGGAGCCTACTCAAACATTTATTTTGCCTGCCATGGTAATTATTTTCAGGACAGAACTTGAAGTTTCTTTTTCTTGCCATCTTGGTTTAATAGGGTAATATTGCAGGTTATAAGGTGAATGACACAGTTAAATATTTGCAAGTAACAGTTTTTAAAAACAGCAATCAGAAGCCTCTCAATGTCAAATAGCTCATGCTTCTTTACAGAAGTAATAAATGCGAGAGTTGGTAAGGCTGCAGTGGTCAGCAAGAATGTGCTGGTTGTGGGTTTGTATTCATCAAAATGGCCTTATTATTCTCATTGGTGATTGATGAGTAAACCATGTTACAGAGTTGCACTTAGAAAATAAACTTAATCTAAAGAGATGCCACTTAAATTGTTTTTTATATGAAGGTAGTTCAAAAAAGGTCATGGAAAGATTGATATTATCTTTTAATTCTATTTTTCCCTAAACTTTTTGAAGTATTGTCATGCTGAGATTTCATGTAACATTCCACTTGAAACAAGTATTCTGCTACTTTTTAAAAGTTTGGAAAGCCACATGTCTGGAGAAACTGCTAGTTAACATTACTACCCCACCCCTTGGAGGTTTCGGGTACCAAGGGAAGATAGTAAAAAGCTCTCATGGTCTCTTTCCTTCTCTGTGGATGGTGTCTAGAGGCACTCACAATGGCCCAGCATTTGATATACTGTTGTAGGCTTCCCTACATTACAGCCTCTAACAAAACTAGGTTGTCCCAAATCCCTGGTAATATAATCATTTACCTTATTACCAAGAATGTTGGGAAAGCATCAAAGTCTGCATGTGACATGTGCCCATGAAGACTTTAAGGGGTTTGTGCTTTGAGACCTAAAGTTCTTATGAGGTTGTCTAAAATGAAAACATGTCAGCAGGGCCTTTAGTGGTTCTGTATGAGCTAAAATGTGTCCATGACAGGATCAGGCGTGCTTTCCTTATAGAGGAGCAGAATATCATTGTGGAAGTGTTAAAGGCACAAGCACAGAGAAAGCTAAATTTAAAAAATGAAGCTTTTTTGAGTAATAAATCAAAAGGCTAAAAAATAAAGCTCTGATGCTGCAAAAATATGTCCTACACAAGTCTGGAAGTGTCTGCTGTTAGTAGGTACTTGATATTTGTGGAAGAAAAAACTGACTTTAATCCTGACATTGTTGGTATGACTTTGAAATGGAATGCTGAAAAGGCTGTTCTAAAGTTAGAAAGCTGTGACTGAGCTGGGAGGATGATTCTGTCATCCTTTTATACTACTTGGGATGGTAAGGATCACCCCTCACATTTACTCATGGCTTGCTGTCTGCTGAAGCTTTGGTCGGTGCTTCACCTGTGTGATCTCGTCTTTATCCTTACGGCAGCCCCACAAGGTAGGCATTAAGGTCTGTCTACTCTGGACCTAGAGAGACTTGTCCTTTGTATCAAACCAAGCATCCTGTGCAGAGCCAGTTGGGGACCCTTGTGAACTCATGCATTGCCCTCTGTTTTCCCTCCTGACAGAAAGAGTACTTCAAGCAGTATGAAGTGGGACTCCAGAATCTGTGCCGTTCCTACCAGAGCCGTGCTGACTCACGGGCCCAGGCCTCAGAGGAGAACCTGCGTACCTCTGAGAGAAAGCTCCGTGAGACAGAGGAGAAGCTGCAGAAGCTGAGGACCAACATCGTGGCTCTCCTGCAAAAGGTGCAGGAGGTGAGCCAGGCAGCCCTCTCATTGCAGCTGGACCACCTGGTCTCTCAGGGTGGGGGGGCCGGGCACCTCCTGATCCCTTCTCACAGGAATCTGTCCACTCACAGGAATCTCTGGTTCCAACCCTGACCGCACAGCATCCTGACCAGGAGGGCTTGAGGTGCGGCTGCCTGGGTCTCATCCCAGCCAGACCCACAGAACCAGAATTTTCCCTTGTTTAGACATTCTGATGTACAACCTGGTTTGAGAACCTTCCAAGCCATAAAATAAAGATGTTGCTTTTCCAGATGACACCCAGAGGGGATTGGGTAGCACAGAAGTGGGGAGTGGGCCCTTAGGGTGTTGGTCCTCCATCTAGGTGGTAAACACTGAGGCCTGTTCTGTGCTGATCCTGTGGATGTGGGGTGCACAAGGCAGGGCAGGCCAGATGTTTCCTGCTTTCACAGCCTGACGGGTCTGGTAGAGGAGACAGAATTACTGATGGTAGGAAGTGCTATGAAGTCAGTAACAAGAGAGACAGAAGATGGGGGGAGGCCAGGGTGTTCAGGGGTGGTCTCTGAGATGATATTTGAGCTGAGACTGGAAGCTGATCATGCAAAGAGCAGGACACCAGAGTGCCCAGACAAGAGGGAAGAGGATCAGGACTCAAGGCCTGAGCAGGGAGTTGTGGAAAGTAGGAGAAGAGGCAGGGCTTTGTTGTACAGCTGGGATTTGATCCTGAGAGCAGTGGGAAGTCACTGGAGGATTGTGTCATGATCCAGTTTTCAATCAAAAATACTCCCATTGGTTGGAGGAGGCCTTGAGGGGTGAAAGTTAGAACTGGGACCCCTTTGAGGAGGTTCTCATAGTTGTCTGGTGAGATAGTGGTGGCCTGGACCCTGGGAGGTGACAGAAGGGAGTGGAGTGGGTACATCTGTAGTATCTGAGGGAAAATACACATCTAAGGTAAGTGGGAACTTTGGATAGAGGCAGGGCAGGAGCAAGAAATCTGGGTGTCGTCTGTGCACAGTAGATAGGGAAGGGAAAGAGCCAAGATGGGACAGAAGCCTGACAGCCAGGGGGATGGGGAGGAGAGGGTAACTCTGGGCTCAGCCCCAGGAGCTGGGAGAAGGGAACACCCCCCCCACCCACTGCCTAGCCCACAGCTGACCCCTGCTCCCCTCTGTTCCAGGACATAGATATCAACACAGATGATGAGCTGGATGCCTACATCGAGGACCTCATCACCAAGGGGGACTGAGGAGCTAGGAGCTCCCCTGCCCACCTGCCCCTCAATGCAGCAGCTTCTGGAGGGTGGGCCATTCATGGGTTGGTGGACTGACCTTGGTTTGACTCACATGGGACATTTGTGCTTTTGGAGGGAAAGATACTCTGATTCTTTGAATCTTCCTCCCTAAGTTTATAAATATTTATTTTTTAAAAGAAACAAGATGCTGTGCCTGCTGTGAGACCATACATTTTTTTGTGGCTCTTGGAAAAAGGACAGAGAACCTTTTTACTTTCACCACACCAGGATGCCAAGCCTGAGCCTCTTCAGCTCCTGGCTTTTCAAGCTAGTGGCGAGTTTAGTGTCATCCTGAAATTGGAGAAGCTCCAGGGGCAGGGCTGGTTTCTCTCCTAGAGGATGAGCAATGTGGGGATCTGACGGATGGGGGAGGGAGAGAGTACCCCAGAGTAGTGCTACCCCTAGGGGCTCAGATCCAGGGAACCCACAAGGGGGGTGTGTGTCAGAGGAGGTTCAGTGTTGGTAGGCTCTTCCTTTTGCAACTCCACTATCAGGTCATGGATATGAGTGTGTGCAGTCAACCTAAGCACGTGTCAGTTGTTTTGGCTGTGGTATTGTCCATATAGCTCGGAGAAAAAAGGTCCTCCCCGTTCAATCTCCCCTTTTACCACCTGAGTTGTATCTGAAGGAGTGATTTCCTCAAAGAGTGATTTCCCTGGTTAACCATGGACAGTGAGGTTTCCCGCCTCAATAACTTGCATCCAGGCTGAGGAGCAGACAGATCCAACTGGTCAGATCTCTGACCTGGGTAGCACACTGAATGTTTGCACTCCAGGGGATTCCTTAGGGAAGGAGCTTGTGTGTGAAAGAGCTGGTGCTGAGCTGGCTGAAGCCTCTGTCCATGGCTGTCCCAGATAGGGCTGGGTGGTCTGGAGAGCTTGCTGCTGCTTTTTCTACTTTATCCCGTCTGACACCACTGAACCCCATCAAGGGCACACAGGAGGAGTGGGCTAGTGAGCCCCCTGGCTATAGGGACTCCAGAGGAAGCTCTGCAGGAAGCACACCACACATTCTCTCCCTGTCCAGTCACAGCCCCAGAAGCTGTGTCCTTCAAGTAACTTCTCAGGGTCAAAGACAAGGCAAGGGATGCTGAGTTTACTCCTTAATGGCTACTGGGAGAATTCTGGTTTGATTTCCCCTCTCTTCCCCACTCCTATTTGGGCCCTCTGGATTTTCTGAAGGCACAAGAAGTATGACCTTGTACCATTCAACTGTGATTCAAACTTCTCTGGTTGTGTTTCTGGCATCTCCCTAACTCAGGCAGCTGTGGCCACCCTGCCACTCTGCAAGGTCTGTGGAAGATCAGGAAGCAGTGGTGAGGGACGTAGGCCACACTGGAATTGGACTCCTTTTTCTTGTGCACGTCGCCAGAGGTGCCTGTGATTGGTGGGTTTTGGGCTTCCCCAAACCACATCCCTGGGAGAAGACTGTTTGGGAGATACCACTTAGAGAGACCCTGGCCTCTTCTGGAAGATTTCTCTAAGAGTCCTGAGGTTTCTTGAGCTGGTGATTCCCCTCTCATCCATCCAGCGCTGTTTGTCTAAAGCAGTATGTGGTCCATTTTTGCCCTCAAACCTACTGTTATTTATTTTTATTTTTATTTTTTTGTCTTTTTTTTGTGACTGGCCGCACCGTGCTCAGCCCATGAGCGCACCAGCCATCCCTATATAGGATCTGAACCCGCGGCGGGAGCGCTCCCAGCGCCGCATTCTCCCGAGTGCGCCACGGGGTTGGCCCTAAACCTACTGTTTTAATCTAAAAGGAAGTTCTGCATTTTTACAGAGGATAATACTCAAGTTTGTTTGTTTACACACATGTAATCAAAATGCAATACTATAAGCTTCTGGTAAAGCAGTTGGTTTTCTTCTCAGTAAAATCCAGCATCTTCCTCTTCTTCATTCTTTTTACTACTGTGGCTTTAAACTGTTTTCAAGGTCTCCCTTATGTCCACCATCTCCATTATTTTATCTTCACCCTCCTTAACACCCACAGAAATGGGAAGACCAGATTTCCTAATGTTTTGCCTTCAACTTCTGGATGTTCCCTCTCTGCTGTTAATCCAACCACAGCTGTGCCAAATGCAGCTTGTTTCCCAGGCAGAGATCTGCCATTTTGGATGGGACGATAAAATGCGGGGGTCTCCCCCTTTCCAGGGAATATCACAGGACAGCTGACCAGCTTGGAACTGCCTGACGACTTGGGAGGAGGGAAATGGCCTGGCCGATCTGTGGTGGGAAAGTCCTTAGACAGCCTGCAGGAAAGGGAGTGAAGGCAGTGACCCTGGTTTTTAAGGAATCGGAGGGATGGGGACTTTGAGTGTTTGTTTTTTAAGTAACATGCACATGGTAAAAACTCAAACAATATAAAGGCTGGACAATGAAAAGTAAGGTTCCCTCATCCCAACAGATCCCCAAGTTCTCCCTGGAGAGTGTACACACCCACTCTGCCGTTTCCACTTGTTTTCCACTTACTGTATCTTAGACCCTGTTTCAGAATAGCGCATATGGGTCTGCTTTATTCTGAACAATCATATAGCATTTCATTGTCTTGGATGTACTGTCACTTAACTTATAAATATTTGGGTTATGTCTAACACGAAAAACGCTGTGTGTGTGTGTGCGTGCATGTATTTATTCATTAACTTGGATCTATATATAGGGTAATTTCCAAAAAGGTTAATGTCTGACCCACTGTGTTGGACAGTGGATATATTAAAAATTATAAGATACATTCCCGCACTGCCTTCCACAAAATACTCTAACACGAAAAACGCTGTGTGTGTGTGTGCGTGCATGTATTTATTCATTAACTTGGATCTCTATATAGGGTAATTTCCAAAAAGGTTAATGTCTGACCCACTGTGTTGGACAGTGGATATATTAAAAATTATAAGATACATTCCCACACTGCCTTCCACAAAATATTGGTCCAATTTCAACTCCTATCAACATTTTATTCCCCCTCCCCACAAATTTACCAGTATGTCTTTGCTTTTGTTTACTAATCCGAAAGGTGCAAAGTGATGAATTTTTGAGTTGATGTGAATTAATCAAGGGAGATTGAGCCACTTCATTGTTAAGTTGTGTTTCTCTTCTGGTACAGGGCTATACACTTGGTCTCTGACTTACTATGGTTCATCTTACGGTATTTCTTTTCGACTTTACTATGGTGAAAGTGATAAGCATTCAGTAGGAACCACACTTCAGTATTCAGTAAATTACCTGAGATATTCAACATTATTATAAAATAGGCTTTGTGTTAGATGATTTTGCCCAACTGAAGGATAATGTAAGTGTTCTGAGCACGTTTAAGGTAGGATAGGCTAAGCTATGGCATTGAGTAGGTTAGGTGTATTAAATGCATTTTTGTTGATATTTTCAATTTATGATAGGTTTACTGGGATGTAATCATAAATTGTGGAGCATCTGTAATTCTGAATCTTGGTTTAGGAATTTTTTTGTAATTCAGATGAAAAACAAGGGGCAAAGTCCTCAGGAGAATGTCCACCTTACAGGACCCCTCACCCCTAAGTGTTCCAGGGATTTAGGATTAAAAACCCCACTTTAGGATCAATGCTGTCTTTATTACCAGGTTAGGACAAGGGTATGACGTTTTTGTTTACTAAAGGAAGGCATGGATTAATAACAGGCTGAGAAAAATTTCTCTGGTACTTTCTTCACACGTGTCTGAGTGACACTGCTTTTTGCCTTAAAGGCTCCCCTTTTGTTGGGTCTAGTTCCCCAACTCTACGTTCTTTCAGGCCAATAGTTCAAGGAGTGTTGGCCAAGAGTTCACAGCTCTAAGGACCAATAAGTCTTCACCCTAATAAAGCTCCAAACTTCTTTCCCACTTACACAGAACTCAAGGCTTGGCCTGAGTAGGCTTTGTCCTCATTGGCTACTCGTTCCTGTCGGAAGGTTCTGCAGCTGAGCCACATTGTAAGGGATCCACTGACGGTTGCCAAGGTGCCTGAAACATCCTCAGAATTCCACTGGCAGGTTCTGGCCTTTGTTGGAGATGGAAGCTTCCTCAATAGCCCCATTGCTCTTGATTCTCAGAGCAGGTCAACAGCCGGCTTGGCCACGGGAGGCAGGGCTCCAAAAGAACTTGCCTTCTCCCCTGCCACATTTGAGGCCTCAGATGGTCAGTTCTCAGGAAAGTACCCTCTCCACAGTGAGCAAGACAGATTGCCCAGGGGAAGGACCTGGTATCCCACTCAGCAAATGAGCCAAAATCTTGCCAGGCTTGTTTTTCAGTCTGGCCATTTTCATCCAGTAACTTGAAAGGCCCAACTAGGGCTGCTGGTGGGTCCAGCAGAAAGTTCCTTCCTTCCTCCAGTTTGCAAAGCCTCAAACAAGTCAGGCCACTCTGGCTCCCCATTCTTCCTCTAAAATAAAGGGGTTGGATGATGGTAGAGGTTTTCCAGCTTATTTAGCCATAGGGCTAGTTCTCCACTTGAAATTTATCCAGAAACCCATATAGAAAGCCAATATACTGGAGTTGCTCTGGTTGAAGTTGGGATGGGGGCCTGGAGCCCCTTGCTGCCGTGACCCCCAATCTTTGCTTCTAAGGCTCACTGGTCCCCACCTGCTACTTGCAGGCCTTCAAGATGCTTACTCAGTGGCTCATGTGGCGGTAATGGGCTTACCCCATGGCCATCCTATGGCCTTCTAACCCTTTGGCCAGTTTTAGTATCCCCCAAGGGTGAACGAAAGCTGGGCTTCCATGGGACCTCCATTAGGCCTGAACTGCAGATGTCTATGGTAATTTTGGGGGCTCTGGCATCTCATCAGCTGCCAGGCAAGGGATGGAAGTGGGGAAGCTCATACCACCGGGGCAAACTTGACATTGTGAGAGGGGAAGGATTCGATAGACACATTCCTCCTCTTCTGTACCCTCTGGACTCTGCTGAGACGCTTCCAGGGACTCTCTGAGGTTCCTTCCTGCCCCAGTAACCTCAGGCTTCTTGGCTGCAGCAGGCTCTGATGTACCACTTTGGTTTACTTTCCCTCCTCCCCCTCCCGGCTCACTTCTCTTTTCTTCCTCTATTGAAAGCTCTGGGCTCTCCCTCCCCTCCCCAGCACCCCACCATTTAAACCAATCTCTCACTAGCCTGGGTTTGGGGTGCTGCACTGGGCAGAGGAGGAAAAC